CACTCATCAAAAGAAACATGGATGGGAAAGGCATTCTTACATCTTCTAAAGTGGAGACCATATCCCCATATGGACTGATAAAATACCTAGAGTTTCTCATAAACTTTAAAGGTTTTTTGGGGTCACCTTCCCACGTCAGAAAAAGGTCTGGCTCTGCTAACAGAGGCGGGGGCCAGCAGCTGAGAGGGGTGTTTGCTAAGGCCCTGAACACTCTGCAAGTGTTGACCTCTACCTGCCTCACGCCAGGGTTGCGTGGTGGGTTGGCGGCCGGAGGGCAGGTACAGACGTTCAGAGCTGCGATGGTGACGACCACAGCTCGGGCAACGTGGAGCTGACCCCGGGCGCAGCACCCGAACGTCGGGCCGGTGGGCATGGGCGGTTGCCCGAGGTGGAACAGAGATCTCAGTTTTGCTTTCTGCTTAGTCTGACTGGGCTTCAAACCCACGCTGCACGTTTCCAAAGAGGTTGACGCAGTAGACATGAAGCTGTTCAGATGGGGGGGGAGAGGGGACCTAATTAATTAAGAGTTCTGATTGATCCTCTTGCAGCTGCAGCTCAGTGCAGAAGAGGATCCAGGGCTGTTTGTACAAGAGACAGCAGAGGCAGGAGATGACCTGGAGCCTCGAGGGTGGTAATTTCAGCAGGTAACAGAAAAACTGGGAAATAAAACTGGTATATATTTATGCAATTTTCATTATATATTTATGCAATTTTCATGTAGATATTGCAGAGACAAGAATGTGTATGTGCTGCCCTGCAGAATAAAATAAAGCAAATGTCGCCTTACCTTGAGGAGATGGCCTGTAGATATTTATGGGGGAGGGTACGGTTTTGAAGGATAAGTATAATCCTTGTGCTTTGCAGGGACCTCTCTTGCCAGTGTCATTACACAGAAGCCTAGGGGGGACCTGGAAGTTTTACCTTGGCTCTGGCACTTGTTAGCCACAAGGCGTGCTATTCATCTTTTACTTACAGGCCTTAACTTCAGGATGCTGCAGAGGGTAAGAAAAAGAAAATTTGCGCTCAAATTGGTGAAAGGGAAATATTTGAAATGGCATCCTGCTCGCCTATATGTAGACTGCCGTGTGAAGCAGGAGTTTGCCTTCTCTCCCCTTGGGCAGCCCGCGACGGCCCCCCCAGCAGCACAGCAGACTCCTGTTTCAGGGGTGGCGAGCAGCCGCCGTGGGCGAACACGGTAACACCACATCAGAGATTTGTGTCTTAAACCCGGGGCTGCTGTGGGCACAGCATGCATGTGAAAGGAGTCTTCTGGGTTTGTGGAAAAAAAAACAAACCAAAACCAAACAACCCCTAACCTGAGCTGTCGCTTAATAACGGCGGTGGAGTCCCTGCAAACGTAGCTGTGGTAGAGCCTTTGATAATTGCGCCCATCACTTAATCTTATCATTTCCCTCCCTGCTTTTATTTTTTTTTTTGTGTGTGTGTAGTTTGCAAAGGCACATCAGGGAACAAGAAACTCTCCACATTCTATGAACACTCCTGAAATCAGAAGGGGCTGATAGAGAAGATAGGTTATCGTCACTCCACATGGATTCCATATGAAGTTCGATCTTCAGTAGCTCGAGAGCCATTACAGATAGCGCGTCCCCTGCGCAGAGAGGGTGTGCAGCAAACAGGTGAATGTGGTGACCACCTCAGACTGCCAGATCATATTTGTTCTCACAGCAGGCGAGCACGCGTATATTGGGGTAGGTAGCATAACATCCCTAAAGGAAATTGGGGTTTGAGCATTAGTGAGAATTAGAAAATGTCAAATTTTGAGACTAAATGGGTAAGTAAGGTAAAAAAACAAGCCAACAAGCTGAATTATTGACATTGCAGTTTTATGATTTTCTAATATAGATCTCTTTATGTTAGGGTTTTTTTTATATATATATATATATATATATATATTTTTTTTTTTAACTTAGCTTTGCCTTCCCTAAATTGTCCAAATCACCATTGGTTACAGGTGAGCTGGTATACAGACAGTTACATATCTTAGCAAAACATCTACTACTTTTAAATACCAGAGGAAGGTGCACTGGGAGTTAAAGAAGAATGAGACCTTCTTTACATGACTCTTCTGAAAAACCGTGACATTTAGCAAATGTATATATGCTCATTTAGGTACGACAAGAATTAGATTAATTAGACTTCGGCTGTGTGCAAGTGACAAGCCACAACAGGTAAACCTCCCTGTGTCAGCACTCCTTAACAATTTGTATAAGCTGACTGTTCACTCTTCCACTGTTTTATTTTCACTTCTCCTACATTCAAGATTAATGATAATTTTCCAGCATCAATAAGATAGCTCTCCTGAAAGATTAATGAAACTCGCACTGAAAGAACCCTGAAGCTGGATCTCAATTTCTTAACAGAACTTGAATGAAGTATTTTTGTGCCCTTCTTTCTTCTTCCCTCTCCAGCCAGCAGTCTCTTTGAGTGTGGCTGGTAACAGTAACTCCTGATGTTCTTAAAGACCAACAAAACAATCTCATTTTCCTTTTTATTTTTTTTTTTTTTAATGTATGTTATCATCAGCTTTAGGCAAATAGAAGTGTTGTTTCTTAATATTCCTAATTATTTCTGGAGGAATTTAATCATGGTCTCCAAGCACCTGGTTCACAGGTGCCTGTGTAGATAGTGTTACCGGAGCTCTGCAGCTTTTCTGTTTCGTCTCTTCTGCATGGTGTTCCCAACCTGCCTGCAGGACAAAGTCTGCTAAATAGTTCTCAGTTCATCCTTTTTAAAAAGAAGGCATTTTACATCTACTCAACTGCCTAAAATACGCTGCTATAATAGTATCTATTGATAACCTGACCTAAAGCAACTTCTTAGACAACCAAAATGCATTTTATTTTTTTCAGAGAGATTACAAGTTTGATAAATTAGGTGCATTTTTCACTATCTTCATGTGAATATGAGAAGAGACAACTATTTTGCAAAGTGTAATTTTTAGAGATGTTTTCCTGAAGAAGCATCATCTCATATCCTGGTAAATATGATGACAAATTTATGAACTTGTAAGGATCTTTACGTGTTACAGTTTGATGTCTGTAATTATTTAATGTGCATTTAACAGATTAAAAAAGGAGTTATCTGACAGATTTTATAGAGTATGCGTTTGGGAATGATCACTGAGCATGAAATGTTTCTCGTGGTGTTCCTCTGGGGTTGGCACTCAGACTGGCATGTTTCACCAACAGAGTAAATATACAGCAATCCAGATTTATGTTTGCATTGCACGTGGCACAGGAGGTGATGAAATGACCACTCTCACAGATTGGTCTGGCTCGGTCACTGCAGTGGAGCCCTGCCAAGTGTCTTAATGCAGCCAGTGCGAGTTAAATTGAAACACCACACGATGAGGGCTGTACTTACCTGACAATGAACTGGAGATGGGTTCCTCTGAGTTTACCGGGCACTGCTGACCCCAGGGGAGCACGGCCGGCGCGGTGCTCAGCCAAAAAGGCTCTACGGGCAAAGGGACGGTCTTGTCACAGAACCACCATTTAGGTTGGGAAAGGCCTCTCTGATGAGGGAGCCCAACCGCTTCCCCAGCGCTGCCAACCCCCCCCCCCCCCCCCAGCACCGCACCCACCCGCCCTTTAGATGCCTCCGGGGAGGGTGACTCCCCCCCACACACCCCGGGCAGCCCGTCCCAGGGCTCGGCAGCCCTCGCAGCGCAGAACTTTTTCCCCAGCCCCAACCTAAACCTCCCCCGGTGCAGCTGGCGGCCGTTTCCCCTCGTCCTCCCGCGGGTCCCTCGGGAGAAGAGGCCGACCCCCCCCTCGCTCCGGCCTCCTTCCCGGGAGCTGCAGCGAGCGAGGAAGGCTCCCCTCAGCCTCCTCCTCTCCAGGCCGAAGCCCGCCGTCCGTCCCCTCGGCCGCTCCCGCCAGCCCCGGGGCTCCAGCCCCCTCCCCAGCCCCGCTGCCCTTCTCTGGACACGCTCCAGCCCCTCCCCGCCTTTCCCGCCGCGAGGGGCCCGCAGCTGAGCCCGCTAACGGCGGGGCGGCCTCCCCGGGGCCGGGGCCGGGGCCGGGGCCGGGGCCGGGGGGCCGGGGAGCCGGGGCCGGGGCCGGGGGGCCGAGGCCGGGGCCGGGGCCGGGGCCTGGGCCGGGGGGCCGGGGGGCCGGGGCCGGGGGGGCCGAGGCAGCGGTTTGGCACTAACTCTGCACCGGGCGCCTGTGACGCGGCCCCTTCGGCAGCGCAGCGATGTGGCATCACTCGGGATCGTGGGTGGCACAGGGAAGAGCTTCAGGGCTGTTTGCCCAGTTTAGAGAGCTCAGGGCCTGAGGTTTGAACCTCCTCCCTGTTACAACAAATTTTAAATGGCTGTTGAAGCCACAGGAATATTTAAATGTTGTAGGCTAACCTTTGCTCCTAAACAAAAATAAAACAAATCAACAGCAAAACCCCTGAGCCCAGACTCATGCGGCCAGTAGCGATCTACTCGCCAGTGAGCTTGACCATTTGGAAATGAAGAAACACTCCGTAAAGCATCTCACAAACACCACCGCACATGAAGTGATGTGCTTCCTATCTAGTAACGGCAGCAGTGTGAAAGAAAGAGTGTGTGTCGGGGAACACGCGGCACTGAAATTCTGCTTAATGCAACTTTTCTGGCAACTTTTGAAGGTTGACCAACACCTCTGCGCGCTGTTATAGTTCCCGACTGAGTACCCCGGCCTGCTCTACCTTTTGTTTTACTGGCACTAACCGGTTACGGTGCTGCTGAGCACCGCCACTCTTCCTGGTACACGCGCAGAGGTGATCTTCTCCAACTGTATGCCGGAGGTGGAGAATAATGAGCGTTTCAAAGGGCTGGGAAAAATAGGATTGATTGAGGATGAAGACGTTCCCTCGTGCTCGTGAAGCATGTCGGCGTGTGAATCGTGGGCAGAGAGAGCAAAAGGGGAGAGGGGGCTGGCTGGCTGATTTTGTTTGTTCTTCTAACTAAGGCAGGAAGTGGGAAATACCATACATACCAAGAGGGATTTTAAAAAGCAGACAGTTTAATCACTTAATACATCTCACTTTATTGCAGTCATGATTTAACAGGAGAGTTTTGCCATTCTGAAAGAGAACGGGTACTCTCTAATAAATTAGATGAAGCGCATAATTTTATGTTAAATAAGACTGAGATATATTTAAGATTTTTTAAGGGCACAGAGTTTGCAAACTTGAGTATATATAAAACTGAATATGTATAAAACCGAACTTTGTTAAGAGCGTAACTGGGAAATAACAGGAAAATTTTCAGTAGATGATCCTTAAACTGAGAGAACATTAGAGAGAACAAAATTGTGTCACCATATAATTAAAGACTGATGATGCACACAGACAATACTTAAGTTGGGGCTACATGTGGAGTATTAATTCAGACATTTGCTAACTTTTCAGTGTTTCATTTTGCAATGTTAATAGTGTTCGTTTAGTGTGCGTTATCTACTTTTCTCTACAGTGTCTTGGAGGGATGTACTTGAAATTAGTTTAAGTAGGTAAGTAGGACTTATAAATGATTTATGTGCTTTTTTTTGCTATCTAAATGACATGATAACAAATAACTGTGAAAGTATCTTGGATATATAAGCAGAATCACTCTCTTTATTAGACCAAAATAATGCTTTTCCTGCTTTAATTTCATTCACTAATGTATTATATAGGAATATATATGAATATTCTGAAGCATTTGCTTTTCCAGGTCCACCAGAATTCTTCTTCTGTGGTTCTCTGAGTCCCAATTCTTTTAAATTCCCAATTACTATTAAATTAATGACTAAATAAAATGTTAATATTGCCAACTTAAATGCGTATTTTGTATTCTTTACAAAATATGTGTGTAGCATTTCTTTCAGCATGTCCTGCAACGAGGAATACTGATGTTTATTAGTCCCTCTCATATATGACAAAGGCTTTTTTGGTGTTGTTTTCTTACTAGAGAAAAATAAAAACTGCACAAACAGAAACAAATGCAGTATGCGCTGACCCTTCATTCTGTTAGTGCAGGCTGTTCTGCATGCATGTATAAAAATAATAATCGGCCATGAATAAACACTGAACATTTGTAATGAAGGCCTGGTTCCACAACCAACTCAGTCTGAGCATCTCTGGTGGATTACAGTGAGACCATCTATCTCAGCTGCAGAAAGGCTAAATGGAAGTTTTAATGTGCTGCATCAACGTAACTTAGTCCCTCTAGTCAAGCAACATCAATTTCTGAAGCAGCTATTATCCACACCCTTTCTTTTAGAGTTCTTCTTTTAATATTATAAATTGCTATTACAGAAGAATTGGAGTTGGAAGCGTTGCTAATTAGTACCTTCCTTCTGAAGGCTAAGATTTTAAACCGATCTATTACTGAATCTGTTAGAAAAAAATCAGGTATCCTCATTTTAAAGCAGAACTTCCTTCTCTTCCCTTGGAAGAGGAAGGGATAAACTTCCCTTACAAGTGTGTCTCACGTTCCCAGACCCCAGTCTGAAATGAATTTTGCACTGGAGCTCTGCAAAGGTGCAAGGCAGGAAGAGCAGTCGTTGCTGCATAAATGTGCAACAAGGACTCTCCAACACACACAGCCCTCCTGCATCCCCAGCCCCGTGCGGCACAGTGATGTAGTTCAGCTGCCTCACGAGCCTCGATACCTTTAAAGAACAGCACAGGATTTTCTCTTTTTCTTAATTAATTAGAAGGACCATCTGATAGAATATGTAGCACACAATTCTAAATTAGGTTAGAGGATTAGTTTAGAGGATTTATCACGTGTAGTTTGCATGTATTCTCAGAATGGAGAACAAAATTCTCACATTAAATGGGGTGTCATTTTTAAGGAGATCCATACTTAGCGTCAGAATCTGATGCCCAGTGCATACTTAAACTGTCTTGCCTAATCCTTTGTAAATTCCCCTGCCAACGTAACTAGATTTGTGCCACTGCTTCCATCGGCATCTTTACTGGAGGGAATCCCAGGAGCGTTACCAGATCATTTCGTACCCTGCCACTGTAATGGATTTATCAAACCCCTGCCAGCCACCACGAGTCAGAGCAGAGCCAAGGACACCGCAAGTTATGCTGCGGGTGGATCTGGCCCCTCGCCGGCGGCTTCCCCGGCCTGGGAATCGGCGAGATGAGATGATTGTTTGACCCACCGGAGCTCTGCAAACCGCCCCAGCACCCGGGCCAGCCTCCTCAAGCCAGACCCCGCACCAAAACGAACGTGACCGCCAGCGCCGCGGCGCTGATGGGGGAGAAGAAGGTTTTCCACGCGCCTTCGTGTGAACGTTTCTATCAAGCTAACAGAGACCTGGGAAATGTTAGCACGCTGATTCTGTAAGTATGGGTACATTCTACAATCTATCCATAGACGTGAGCTGTGCTGAGTTCTACAAGACGTAGTTAATTTACACAGTGTAATTTTAATTTTGACAAGTCAAGGATAAACGAGGAAAAAATAGAAAGAATTTGTTTTCCATATATTTTTGCTTAAAACCAGATATGTATAACACCGGTTTTATTAGAGGATATTAACAAATATAGGCACATGCCTTTCCCAAGGAAAAACTGTTTGTTTTATTGTTTAACTTTAGGGTCACTACCTCTGGAAACCAAAAAGTGAACCATGGCGTAAGACTTGTATCAAAGACTTCCAGGACAGAAAATACAAAGTTTAACTTAGTGCAAATGACATAGCACCCTCCTGAGGTGGTCACAGGCATCCAGATCTGTCAGAAAACCAGAAGGCATTGGTATTGTTAAAATTTTGCCTAAAAAAATGCACTGAATCAATGCATCCAACTTCCAGGTTCTAGTAGAGGGAAGTGTTAACAACATGGGCAATAATAACATGTAGCACTGCTGTAGGGCTCTGAAACTTGTACTTTGGTTGCTGGAAAAATGGCCCAATACCAAGGGTTGACAGTCAAGATTCAACCCATGCAGCTTGTTTGGAACCTAACTGTTAAAAAGACTTAAGTATAGAGCTGATATGCCTCCACCATAGTTTTCAGAGTTGCTAATAGAGCCTTCACCTGTTCTTCAGGGAAAAAACCCATGTTTTCAGCTATTTCTGGAAGAAACTGTGGAAGCTTCTGAAAAGTTTCTAGCTCTCTAAAATATGCACCTACTAACCAATCTGCAGAAAATTCATTTTTCATCTTACAGGTATCATGAGCCATTACTGAAAGTCCTTTTGAACAAGCTACCTCTCTGAGAGTTAAACTAAAGGGTGAAGACAGATTATAAACTGAACAAAAATTCAGCAGCATCTTACTAAATAAAATCAACCACAGTTCTCCCTGCTGACGGCAAAAATCTTGTTCTGTGTGTTCACAGAGGCTTTCAATGCTCTCTTCTGGATGAACAATATGCAAAAGTTCTTGCTTTACTGCTAGTGATTCAACATAATCCAGTGGCATTTTTCCATGGGAGTCCCTCTGCTGTAGAAGGACTGGTCCTGCAGGGAAAATATAAACATTAATAAAACCAGCACATTCAATTTGGCAGCTGAACAAGATTTTGGGCTTGCTTTTTGCCAGAAGCTAGGAGTCTGTTTAAATTCATTTTTGTACTAAGTTATGTTGATGTAGGTAATGAGTTACACACTTGCAATACAATCTAGAACATGTAGACAGACCCTTTGTAACAGTTTTGTTATGATACTGTCTTAATTTTCTTCCCAGTTATGCTAGGTTGAAAGCCAAGGATTATTGTATATACATGGGAAAGAAATTAAAATGTTGCCTATCCGAAAATTTCAAGTGGCAATACACAGAGTATGTAAAATTGTAATGTTATTACTGTTGTAAAATTCTATTATATATTATAGACCAGGCTATTTGCTGACACTGACTCCAAATTAAAGGCACGTTACTGTGATGGTCTTTATTTTACTCTTCTGGATTGTGTGGCCAATCTCATCCTAGGCTATGCAGCAAGGTAAACTATTGAGTTTAGTTAGACTAGGAATCCTAGTCTTCCCTCAACAACTGAGTTTCAAAATTTGGTTTTGACAGACGTCTGAAATGCAAAAAGTAACTACTCTAATAAACAGATTTAAAGTAAGTAAATGGGACATGTTTTACTGGTTCAGGTTATATTACATTCATTTGGTATTTTCTGTTTATTAGTACAATGGAGCTATCAATATTTAAACAGTTTACAGACACCTTGATAAGTTTAAGAAATGCCACATCAGAAAGAAAAAAATGAAGTCAGTTAACACACTGCAGGTGGTGTTTTTCAAAGATGAATGCATCAGGAATCTTCCTATGTAAGTTTGGATTACTATGCTAAAGTAATGATGTCATTTTTACTTGAATACATTTTCAGAAATATATTTTCATTACAATAGCTAATTCACCGCATTACATATCTATACTACAGGTTTTAACTTTGCCGTGATTGAAGCTATATTGTTTTACTCCATCACTGAATATGCTATATAATTAAATTTTGCAAGCTGAAGGTTTTTTTAGAGAAAGAAAGTGAAAAGTTTTTGCGGAGATGTGTCGGTGATTACTGAGCTGAGTAAATCCACACTGAATGGGTAACATGCCTTCTACCGCATTCTTGTCAGCTACTTGACAGGCCAAAACCCAGAGTGTGACAAAGGCAAAGATAAGGGTACACGCAGCCTTACAGTTGCCAGAAAACCTTGATGAATGCAAGTGCAAGTAGAGCTCTTCCCCTAGGACAACAGGATCATCCACTGCCTATTCTTCACAACAGCCTAGGAAAAATGCACATCTGCCAGGGCGAAGCCATTTCCAATTGAGGAGCTGGGCTTCCAACAATATTGGCTATTGCATCACTTAGACCGATTGAACTGAGCCCAGGTATTGGCTTGGCATGTCAGATACATGGTTCAGCAGATATATAAAACACCTGGGAGCCACAGAAGTGAAGCTCAGCAAACACAGAGGTGGAACTGCCGAGAAAGGTATTGATTATGAGCCGGTGCTTGCACAACAGACACAGAAATAGCCTTTAGGGGGCAGGAGAAGACTGTAAATACAGAGGGTCTTATGCCAAGAATTAAATAAAATTTTGTTTCTCTACCTTAATTAAGTAATAGGCCATCTAAATACAGTGCACTCTTCTGCCTCGTGGCTACACGCAGAATGATTTTTATTGAAAAAATTTGGACTCAGCATATACTGCGTAGAGATTAAACTGACACTGGAGGTCAATGGTAAGGATATCGCAAATACTCATTTTAGTAAATGAATTAAAAGAAGGAATAGTTGATATCCAAGACCATTCTTTGCAGTTGTTTTTAAAAAAACATGCTAAGTTAATTATATTGATACAGTGTATTTCAAGACAAGATACAAGCTCCCTGTTACTGAACAGAAAATATTGTTCAAAACATTTATCATGTGTCTGCCTAAGGGGCAATGTATCTTTTTTTAGAAACTAAGGCATCCCTCCCACTATTATCCCTAAACAGCAGTTATCACGATTACAATATAGATTCCTTTCTTAAACTAATTACCAAGCTAATTGTGTTCTTCAAAGACTATCACATCAATTTTCATAAATGCTGAACAAATTTATATTGAAATACATGATTATATAGAGATTTACTGATCTATTTTTGCATCATGGTAAAAATAGATCAAAACAAAAGAAAATCCTGAGCTTTGCTTGGTGACTAGGTAATCTTTATCTTCATTAATGAGTTTGGAGAATATAGTTACAATGCATATGGTGTAAAATGCAGAATAAAAACATTACCATATTGGAAAAAAATGTGAAAATCCTGGTTGATTTCATATTCAGCTGATCAAGATAAGTGTGAAAACAGTATTATTTTTATTGTGACCAAAACAGCTTGGCTTAAAATTGTTTTTAAATAAATATTTCATAATAACATTGTATTTTAAGCAACCATTAAGAAAAACACCACGAACTTCATATGGACTCGGAACAGTGGATAGTTTCCCTAAACCAGTTTAGCATAAATGCACTCACCCCCACGCTGAAGTAGCAGCTTGCCAATTTCTACATGTCCATTTGACAGTGCATCATGCAAAGGAGTCACCCCGTCCACTTGACTGAGCAGGTCTACCTCTGGACAACGCTGCAAAATTTCACGGACACACACTGTGCTGCCATGGTTACAGGCTTCATGCAAAGGCGTCCAGCCAGCATAGTCTGAATTATAAATCAAGGGAAGTTTTAAAACAGCAGAAGTAGTATTAAAACGTTAATAATGTACTTCATTAGACAGCAAAACACTTCACTTCTTAGTATTCATCGTGGCACAGTGGCAGCTTCTGATTTCAAAACAAGAAATTCTATTGAAAAACATCTGAAAAAATTAAATAGCATTTAAAAAAAAAACCAGAAAATGGGATGTTAAAACATACTTTAGTCATAAATTAGCCTTTCTTCAATGTCTGCTATAAAGTCCTCATTTTGTGTTGTTTAAAATAACAAAGACAGTTTTAATAGTATAAATATAAACTTTATTGTCAAACAGATATTAATACAGTTCTTTATCTGGCTTAATTTCTTAGTTCTGTAGAGAAAATGAATAACTTACCTTTAACATTAATGTCTATTCCAGGGATAGAGAGAAGCTGAATCAATCTCTCCACTTTGTTACTTATGCAAGCTTTATGCAGGGTTGCCTCTCCTACCATAAAAAATTAATAGATTACACTAGACTAGGCAAGATAGCAACTAAAGAAAATAATCAAAGTGCCTGGAACTAGGAGACCTGGCTATATGCCAGAAAATTCAATAATGAGTAAGATTTTCCTTTATCCTGTTTAACCATCTTTTAAGAAAATTCAAAAAAAACCCACAGAGCTTCTGTTCCACCAGAGATCCAGCAATGAAATTGTATTGCAAACGGTTTAACACAGGAATTATCTCCCCCCAGTTCAAGGTTTAAAGCTTCAATCACACTATAAAAGCACCAAGTGATCACAGAACACCAAAAATACTGGGTTTTGAAGCAATAAAACTTTAGAGTGCAGTTGCCCTCCCTTAAATTTATTCATGAACCTACGTTAAAATGTATGGTTCTTTTTACACAGCATTTATAGCTTAATTCAAATGAATGTTTCTGGCTAAGCACGAGTGCCTCTACACACTCAACTATAATTCAGAACTTCAAATCTGTTAACAGATGGTTTGCTGTTTCTCAATAGGCTGTCTGCCTTGGCTACAGTAGCAGGGGAGGGGGGAAAGAGAGAGAAATAAATGAAGGGGTAATAATAGCAATAATAATAGCAACAACAACAATAATAATAATAGCAATAATAATAATAATAATAATAGTTATTATTGTTTTGTTTTTTTTTTTTAAGTAAATCCTTGGGAAAAAAAAAAAAAAACAAAAACCAAACCCAACCAACCAAAAAAAAACCCAAAACAAAAAAAACAAACAACAAACCCCAAGCCTTAGTATCATGTAAAGCTGAAGTAAGTGCAAAGAATTGAACAGCAAGCAACTGAGAACTGCTGCTTATACGTAAAGATACCATTAGTTTCTGCATGATAAAAACTTGAGACCCATTCTAAACGTTAGTTCTCTTTTCACTAAATGATTAGGTTTGAACAAGAGCCAGAGGAAAATCTTGATGCCAGGTGAAAAATGATGCAACAAACATCTTAGAAATGAAAAATATCTCAGGCTAAATCTCTCAGTCTTTGAGATAAGATTTACATGGTATATTTTGTTATATTAATACCTTCACTATGTAAATCTGTCAGCTCCATACTCATTCTTTCAACAGAAGATACTACTTACAATTTTGGCAGGGGAAGAATAGAAAAAAAGTAATTTTTTTTTTTTTTTTTCCCCTTAGTCCTTCAGCTCACTTTTCTTTGTAGAAGTCAGCATGTAATAATTCACATCAATTTTACTTGCAAAAGCAATAAAGAGAAAGGGAACCAATTTTAAAAATGCATGGTCTGGCTCTGTTACTGAAGCTTTCTTAAATCCCAAAAGACGGTGAGGTTTTTTTTGTCCTTCAGTGTTTGTGATACAATTCTGGTTTTAATTTTTTGAACAATCCCAGCTTGCTTTTTCCAGTTTTTTCTAAGGTTTCTCCTGGGTGTCATATTAATATAGTTGTGTTTTAAGTGATATAGGTAAATTTCTGATGATGCAGATGACAAAAAGTAGTTCCAGCAAGTAACTCTGTTCAGGTAAAGGCTCATGTAAAGTACAATTTATTAAATTTGTGTAGTAAGTAGCAACCGAATGAATTACTGCAGTGCTGTTTTATTCCTTAGGTACTTGGGTTCCAGTATAGCTAAGACAAAAGCCAAATGCCTTTCATAGTCTGGGCTGAATGCCTGGAAGAAAACAGTCCATATGCTTAACACAGCTATGTAACATAGCATACTCCTCAGTCTTTGTTCACAAAATGTCTAGGACTGAAAGAGATGAAGACTGAATTATACTTTCAAATCAGAAGACGTTGATCCTACCAAGCACAGGTTGAGGTGGATTAGCAAAGTAAGGCAGGCAAGACTGGAATGAGCTCACACAAGCTGTACACTGTATTTAATATCTGGGAGGGGGAGGGGAACGAAGAAGGCAGCTTTATTCCACCATATATACAATTCTTCCTTTTAAATAGACGTTGGAAAAAAGAAACACGAACCATAAGAAAATAATTCTTGGGCATAAGCCACCATGCTAGTTCAGCATTTATCAGGACAAGATTTTTAAACCTGACACTGTTGATTCTAACTGTATAGAGTTCTTAACATAGATTAGATACATAGAGTACCTTTAATATTTCTCTGTCCCTCTTCAGCCAAAGGGTAGCAATTCTCTTTGGTGCGTACAGCTGTAACTTCTGGTTTTGCTTTAAGCTTCATGAATGAAGAGTGCTTATTAAAGCTTAAGCCACTTAAAAGAGAGCAAAGGGGACACATCTAAAATCACTATTTCGTATTTTAAGATAATGAATATGTACTTAATATTTTTAAATGTGTATGTACAGCATACTTAGATCTATCCATTTCAGAGTTATTTCTGAAATGTCTTAATTATCTAATTTCCATGTCATTTAATTATAGCTGTATTTAAAACAGTAATAAAATTAAATTACCCACAATTAAACTTTCTTTAAAAGTAATTCTATGAAAGGTTCAAACCCTTTAAATTTGATATTGGGAAAATATAACTACATCAGTCTGCATATACACTGAGATGGAGGATGGGGAGGAAGGGGGAACCCCAGCCCAGCGGTGTTACAGGTTTACAATGGAGCTTTCTGTCAGTTGCAGTAATTTGTAGACAACAAAACAGGTCACACAAAGTTCAAGAAATGTGTTGGGTCAGAAGCTGTCCCCCAAAGCAGAATAGAACTGGTGATGTTATAGGTATTACTTACGGTAGATCGGGCAGCACTTTGACTTGGTTCTGCTTATTGCCATTTAGCACCTGTAATGTCCTCTGAGACTCAAGGCACGGCCCCTTCCCTGTTTCCTTTTGCTTTGCCTTGTTTCTCTTTCTTGTCTCATGCATCCCTACCTCTCGCAAAGCAGGTGAATAGGAGCAGACCTGTTGCAAAAGCAACATTTTCAGTAACTTCGTATCCAGTAAAGTGCAGTCATTTTCTTTTGTTGTACTTCATGCAAAGCAGTCAACCACCACCCATAGCTTGCTCTATCTAAGTTTTTAACAATATGATCTCTAAATGATGGCATGTAGAGATTGTTGAAAGTTGTCTTCTGCAATCTTTTTTTATGTTTTTGTAATTCACTCTTTCTGCTGGCCTCTGAGATGAGTGGAATGTGTCTGGGCCAGAAAGTGGGAGATTCTAGACCTCTCTCTTGGGTTTTTGGTAGCTGAGAAAATTTTGGTCACTTTAGCTGGACCTAAGACTGAAGTAAAGAGAATTGATTCTCAGGTACTTAATGAAAATATTTTAAAGCTTCCTGCTCCCAACCCAGGCAGCAAAACCCAGGGAGCAATTTGGTAAAGAAACACTCACTATCCTCTCCTTCATCTCTTCTAAGATGAGGAGTTGGATTAAGCCTTTGAGCCTTGTGAAGGCAATAAGCTACTTATCTCTTAGGTGCTCTCTCTTTATTAGGGTAGCTTTGGATGTTGTAGATATTTTGGCTTCTTTCCAGTAATACAGACCTTCCAACCCACCTGTAACATGCATTTTAAAAAGTCATAAAAGTTTCTGCAGTTTGGCAAAAGCATGGGAAAAAGTCCAGTGGGGGGACACATTCAATGATTACACAATATCTGAAGAAAGATATTAAAGAAGGCTTTCGGTATCTATCAGATCACCGTGGATTCTGCAGGCAACTTGCAAGGGGTGAGGGACACTTTACTTGCACCTTCACTGTACATTTACCACCAGAGAGTAGGATGTCACTATTTGAACCCATAGAAAAGCCTAGTTGATAATGCTCTTTAGCTGGCAAAATTGGATCATAAATAATATTTATTGTATGGATCAAGAAAGGAGGCACAGGAATGCTAAGGAAAGACACAAAAAGCTCATTAACTTGTTTCAAGCACTACAAAAATTCACATTTAAGTACTTGCAGAGAGTGATCAGTAGTCATGGCAATACTAAAAATAGGAATTGCTGCTGCGTATGTGTTGGCAACAAACATTAAATATTAGATATATAGGCGGTTTATTTTTAAAATTCTGACAGTCTTTTGTTCAAACTCTGTTTAAACACAATGCATTAATAAACGATGATCTCTGTTCACAACAAAGTCTTGTAAAATTCAGGAAAACTTATGTATGGAAAATGTATAAAAGTGTAAATTTGTTTTTCTTTGACTCTACCTGTAGAATTCTAGGACTTACAGAAACAGTTCTATTTAGCTGTTGGTATTGAGATTACTGAAATGCTCTAAGCTAGGGCACGTCATTACTGTGAGATCTCCTTGACTTGCCTGCATCCTGCCAGCAGTCATGGTTTTGAGAATTTCTTTCACAGCTTTCATCACCAGCTATCACAAATTGTGATTTGAAGGCAGGAGAAGGTTTGCAAGCAGGAGAAAGTTTTTAAGAGAAGAAATTCACAGGAATACAGTGTGGTTCAAAATCATAAAATCTTGCATGTAACAAATGCTTGGACTCAGCAGAATAATAGACTGCTATAGTTTCAAAAAAACTTGAAGGAAGAGATAACCCAGGAAAATCACACTGTATTTGGCATTTTCCTTAATTACAAATGTAAGATTGCAATAAAGTATTTACATCATAGATTATTTCAAAAAGCTCACAGTGTTACTTTTCATGTTAACTACAGAAAAACAGATTTATCAGGTGTTACAAATTCTTTGGCAAGAAAAATCTTACTATTGCTTTGAATCCAGATCTTGGGCAAGGGAAATTTAAATACAGTAGAGTCTATATACAGGTGGAAGACAATATGTGCAATAAGCATGACCTTAGACCTCAAAAGAAAGATTTTCCAAGACTTTCATGAATCCAACTACTTATAAAATACTTAAGTATGATAGGTTATTAAGGAGAAGAAGAGTTACTTACTATTTTTTGAAGAGAAAGTGGTTCTGTAGAAATAGTTATATTCCTCTGTAAACACATTTTTTTAAAAACTGCTTCTGCAACAAACATTTGAAGCCAGGGGGATGGTATGGAACAAATGAACATTTTAAATTCATCTACCAAAAAAACTGGATTAAAACAAAGGGGGGGGGGGGAAAAAAGCCTTAAAATGAGAATATACAAACCTGTACATCTAGAGTTGTCTAGAAGATAGCTCTCCAAGACTTTTTTTCCCCTACTGTTGCAGATTCAGAAGCTATTCTCCATCATAATTACTAAAAATATTCATATTAAAAAAGATTCTATCCATCATCTGATAATAAGTCTAGCTTCCAAGAAAATGGTCAAGATTTTAAAAGGCAAAGCACCACTTTTCATATAGATTTTTTTTTAAAAGGCTCTAAGTACAATCTTATGAACTATACACCTTGATTTTGAGAATAAAATTGTGTATTTGGCAAGTTATGCAGGTGATCGTCTTTAAAATCCATAATTGACACAATACAAACACAATTCAGACACAATGTATAACACATGAACAAATAAATCTGCAAGTGATGCAGGGTGACCAACAAATTCTACATTAAGTGACTGTAAGCAAATTTCAACTCCATTCAGATGTACCGAACAGTTCATACTGTTTTAAAAAAACCCACAAAACAGACAGTGGCAGAAGAATACATACCTAAATCTATCTCAGTATGTGAAGAAAGCAAGGTCTGCCATGAGGAAGAAAGTCTTTACTGCATTAAGAGAATATTCTTTTGGCTAAGAAGCACTCATACATTAACTGATCTGTAGACTCAAAACATAAACATAGTTTTGAGACTACAGGCACTTTCTGCTCTAAGAGTGACAGAATTTAGAAGAACTCTGCAACAGTTTTTTGAGCTTTAAGTGCTGTGGTCTGAATCAAGTGGCAGTCAAAGAGTAAGCCAAAAAAATAAGTCAAAGAATATTTACTCTTTATAACCAGACTGTGAATGTTGTTCTTGTGAATGAATGGACAACATAGAACGGGTAAGTTTCCATTTATGCACAGGAAAGTAAGAAAGTCTTACAGAAATACTATCCAAGATTCTCCCTATTATATGAAAGCTAGAAACTCTGTTGGAGAGGCAGCAATAGTAGTAAGATACTAAAAGCTCCACTGATTTAAGTATTATAAAGTTCCAACTGATTTGGCCTTCAAAGATCTAAGGCAGGTTATAATGGTTCTGATAATTTGCTTTCTGTAAGTCTGGAGTGGGACTACTTGTATAAAGACTGAAATTTTAGTTTAATTTTTTCAGGATTGTTCTTTTCAAGTGTTCAGGTAGGAGAAGGTAGACACACTTTAAACGAAGCCTACGTACACCTGTCTCTAGGGAAAATGGTGACTGAAACCAGGATATCCATGCAGGTGTAACAGCTGAGTTACAGTTTTCTGACTATTTCCTAGTAGGGAAAAAAAGAAAAAGAAGAAGAAGAAGGAAAAAAAAAAAGAGCAGCTTTGGTGATAATTCAGTTTGAAAAAGAAATTTAAAACATTCTGTAGTTTTCTTGAGATTACTCTTTTATTTATTTTTTCAGTTCCTTAGCCCCTTGCTGCTGAAAGGACCAATATCTCAACAGACATTCCATGTTAAATGACAATGGTTCATTTGAATCATGACGTTTCTCTTCATTTAATGAACAGGAAAAATTGTGATTCATGGGATGAGTTGCTATTTTCCCCCACCCTCCAAACAAAGTCTATTAATTCTAAGGATTTGGAATGAGACATTGATATGTTTCATTTGAAGTCTGTATGGTTCAAAGAGTTCAGCGTAGCTTTTGGAGTTATGGCTGAAGTGTCTTTAACAAACAAGATCAAGTTTGTGGAGTAAAAAATTTCAACTGAGAACTGGCCTGAGCTGAGGTGTTGCCAATTGCCTCTCTGAAGTTATGGCTTATGATATGCTTAAATTTCTTCCTAAACCGACAGGAGAGCTCCAAAGATTGTTCTTCCTCTCCCACTGTGTAATCTTGCTTTCGCACTAACACATATTGAGATTTATTTAGAGGGATTTTGGTAAGAAAGCTTGTTGTGTTTGGTCTTTGCTTGGGACAGACAGACAAACACACAGACACATATGCACAATAAAATAGCTTCCTGCATATGTACACAACACACCATAAGACTGCACAGCTGCAACAGAAGGTAAAATACAACTTGAAAGTAAATGAAGGATTTTAATTAGGACTTCAGTGTACCTGATTAAAAGACTTTGAAAGGCCTTTTAAACACTCACCATCACATGAAATGGCAAGGTGCTGTGCCAAACCATCAGCTATTTGATGAAATACATTTCTGTCCATAAGCAAATTTGAGATGATCCAATATTCCACTACAGTTCCGAGAATTGAATTTAACAGATCAGTTATTTCACATCTGAAAGCCTAAATGAAAAAAAAAAGAAAAAAATAATATCTATGTACCTGTACTGTATAACAAATTCACACTGATAATGTATCAGTAATACCACTAGAGACCTTCTTTAGATAAAAGCCCACTCTGTTGCCACATCACTTCTCACTGGCTTTTCTTTGCTAACTCTTGCAGCCAGGTCAGCAAAATTAATATGTCGTTAATTAAGATTTGGTGTTGGAGAAATACAAGTAATTTGAAAACATCCTGTCTAAAACAACATGCAAAATGGGATGAAAGCTTACAAGTACAAAGTGATTTATTTTTAAATTAGGTTTTGTTTAACTGTAAGATTTTAAGTACTGCATTTATGCTAGTTAACCTTGAGCTTAATTGACAATTACAGGGATCTTATTCCTGCTCTATTAGGATTCTCTTTTCCTAAAGATTTCATCATGACTTTAAAGCTCCTTTTGTGATAACCATGTAGGACTGTGCCAAAAGAGACAAGGATGCAAAGCGTTAGTTTCCTGCACAGAAAAAACTTTGGCAGCCAGTTTGTGAGATTGGGAAACTTTATTCTGCTACCAGAAATTCCAAAGAGACTAGCAGCTGCAAATTTGGAAGGAACATACTTATGGGTATTAGCCTAACCTTTTTCTCCCTTAAACCTGCACAAAAATGGTCATGTGTAGATAAAAAAAACCCAAAGCCTATTTTCTTCAGGAGGCATCAAGACAATATACAGCACTTTAACATGCTGTCCAGAAAGTACTGTGAGGTAGATGAAAATATTTGTTCACCTTGACAAGCATTGGTTGGGTAAAGCAGTGCTCCTAGTGTCTGAGCTAGTCTGTGCAAAGTAAAGTCAAATCTGTCTACTCAACACCTTTCTGTGCCATATAGAAATACTTTATGCAATGATTCTGAAATAAGTTAATCCTCTGGTCACATGTACAACCACAGAAAATTCAGTATTTGTATGGCAGTTTTCAGAGTGCAAATTGGAAAAATACATGCACTGTAGTAGGAACACAAGAAACCCATGTGCCCAAAGACACCTGCCTGAGGCTCTACCAGAGAAGCTGGTACACTAGAGCACCGGTGGATAGTCCCCTAGTTCCCTAGTGAAAGGGAACACGTATTTCAAAATGCACAATTTTGGATAAGAGGGAAATTGAACTGAATATGTATATTCACCCAGCAAAATACTGGGTGAATAATTTAATTCCATCAATAGTTCTTTACAGGAAATGAATTACACAAATGCAGCAAATAAGCACAATTTTAACAGAGCTAAGTGACAGGATCAAGGACATACAGATGTATTCTGAGGTATATACAGATGCAAAGCACGAGTATTTACATTTTTTTTCTTGCTTCTAAATCACCTGCTTGTATTATTTAATCTATGAAAGTTTTTCAAGGAAAGGTGTAGGGAACAAAAACTGACCTTGAGGCAGCAGACTGAAATAATGACTGCTAATACTGCAAGTATCAATCATGTTTTGCAGTTGGACACATAGCTGCATACTAAACATAGCTGACACACTAGTTGCAACTATGTTTGCTCAGCTAACTACCTCTGCACACTGACAAAGACAAACCAGATACTGTCAACTACTACAGGCTTGGTTGACATTTTGGAAAAACGGTAGCACAAACCAAGAGCTTCTCCTTCATACTTTGAAATAAATGGTTCAGTGCTACAAATGAGTGGGAAATGCTCTAATTTACTGAAAGTATCATCTGTTCTAAAAATATTTAAATATTTAAAATCTGTGTTAAAATATGTTCTAAAAATATTTAAATCGGTGTTGGGTTTTTGTGCGTGGCTGAGGTTTTTGGGTAGCAGGGGAGGGGACTGCAGCGGTGGCCCCTGTGAGAGGCTTCTCAAAGCTCCCCTGGCTCCAAATCAGACCCAGCTCTGCACCAAGTCCAAGCCAATTAGCGACGGTGGCTGCGCCTCTGCGAGAACCTATTTATGAAGGGGAACCTGGCAGGAGGAGTGGGGAGCTGTGAGGAGGACACACACCTCTGCAAACACCAATCACTGGAAGGAAGAGGAGGAAGGGGAGGAGGTGCACCAGAGCTGCCCCCCTGCCACCCATGGAGGTCACCAGTGGAGCACAGGCCGACCTAAAGCCTGTGGAGGAGCCCACACCAGAGCAGGTAGTTGTACCCAAAGACAGCTGGGACTCTGAGGGCAGCCCATGCTGCAGCAGTTTGTTGCTGGGAGGACTGCAGCACATGGGAGAGACACATGCTGGAGCAGTTTGTCAAGAACTGCAGCCCGTGGGAAGGTCTCAACATCAGAGAAGTTCATTGGGAACTGTCTCCTGTGGGAGGGAGCCCGAGCCGGAGCAGGGGAGGAGTGTGAGGAGTCATCACCTTGAGGAGGAAGGAGCGGCAGGGACAAAGGGTGATGGACTGACCACAGCCCCCACTCCCCGTGCCCCTGCGCTGCTGGGAGGGGAGGGAGAGAAGTCGGGAGTGAAGCTGAGCCTGGGAAGAAGGGAGTAGTGGAGGGAAGGTGTCTGAAGATTTGGTTATAATTCTCACTGTCCTACACTGTTTGTTAAGTGTTCTTGTTTGAATTAAATTGATGTTCTTTTTTTGGACCCTAAAGAGTCTGTTTTTTGTAATGGGTGAGTCATCCCTCCCTGTCATTATCTCGATTCCTGCGCCTTCTGTGTTATTTTCTCCTTCCCATTCCTGAGGGGGAAGGGGTGAGCGAGTGGCTGCATGGTAGTCAGTTACCCTCTGGGCTCAAACCACTACAACATCTTAAGACTATTTTAATTTTCAACCACAAAACAATACAAATGCAGTAATGAAAGCCCATGCAATCTTAAAAAGGAGAAAGAAGCAAGCATTTCCATCAAACATGGGAACTGCTACCATGTATGATAGCACCAAGGCCTTTTCTTGTTCCCATTCTGCCCCCCCAGCAAGTGGGTTGGGGGTGTGCAGGAAGCTGGGTAGGGACACAGCCAGGACAGCTCACCCAAAATGTCCAAAGGGATATCCCATGCCATACAAAGGTCGTGCTAGGCAATAAAAGCTGGGGAGAGGAAGAGGAAGGGGGAACATTCCGGGCTACAGCATTTGCCTTGCCAAGGAACCGCTGCTTCTGATGGAGCCCTGCTTTCCAGGAAGGAGCTGGACATCTGCCTGCCCATGGCAAGCACTGAATGAATTCCTTGTTCTGCCTTGCTTACGTGTGCGCAGCTTTGCTTCACTTATTAAGCTGTCTTGACCTCGACCCATGAGTTTTCAAGTTTTTGCCCTTCTAATTCTCTCCTTCAACCTGCTGCAGGGCGGGTGAGCAAGCAGCTGGGTGGGGACTTACCTGCCTGCTGGGGTCAACCCACTACACCGTGCACAGTAAAGTAAGCAAGATCCAGTTAAGCCTTTTTTCAAAACTCTGTTCCTTGTTCTTATTGTTGAGAATCAAAGCTATCTCACCGAGAAAAGCACTGAAGTGGGAAGAGACTGTTGACTGTGTTAGCATACAAAGGTCACATCAGTACAAGTGATGTCTGCCAGCTTAGCAAATGCAATTCCTACATTGCTGTTCCATTTAATGCTTTGCCAAGTCAAGTACAGTGCTACAGTGACAGAAGTTTCACAGTGCATTTTACTAACATAAAAGTTCTTATAAGAAAGTTTTTAAGACAGAGGAAAATTAATTTTAACTTTTCCACTTTGAATTAAAGTTATTTTAGAGTTGTTCTTTAGAGATCTCTTTCACATGGTATATATGTTTTTAGGGTTATGCAGTACTCTAAAAGTGACTAAAACGTACTTCCAAGAAAGCTATTGGAAGTGACAAATAGACCGGAAAGACATTTAGTTCTACAAATCTACACCACATAAACTTACCCAGGTAATGATACTTGAAACACGGAAGAAAACAAATTAGATATATGCAAGATGATGAAATTAAAAAATGGGATGAATGTCTTTTTCACTCCTTTGTCAGGCTATGCAAGACAGCTTTTTTAAAAAAAACACCAGTAGAATCAGGGATCAAAACCATTTCTGATACTATTTGTGACATCATGAAAAGCCATGCAATAGGTCAATGCTACCCTGTTACAAGCAATATACACATTCCTTTGTAAATTCTAAAATTGAATTAACAGCTTTGATTCAAGAAACCTTGACCAGGAGTTTCTGCATCAATCCTATTTAAATAATAAATAAAAAATGCTATTTATATTAAAATCATATTCAGTATTGATTTGAATATCTCAAGTGAATTAAAAACCTCTATGTTCTTTGGCAGTACATATTGAACTACAAGAATAGTGTGTCAGTTTTATTCCACCAAGTTGTTCCAGCACATTGACACAGTGATGAGTGAGGGCATACAATTTCCTGTCACTAATTTTATTCTGCTACTTTTAAGATAAATTCTATCTTAACACAAGAAAGCAAATGCGCTCATATATGTAACTTGAGTTTTTACAGCACTTAATTCTTTCTTTTTCTTTTTTTTTTTTTTTCTGATGTAGGTTATAGTAGGCCTGAAAAGTGAAATACCTTTTGAGTAGGTAAACCAAGGAAACCAGTAACTCAGAATTTCAGCATGGATTTTCTCACCTAGAATATTATAACTGTTTCTAGATTACTCTTTTTACACCCACACATCTGTGTTTACACACATATATAAAAACCCCATAATTTTGTAATAAATCACCATTAGAAGAGAGGAAACATATACAGGTATTTTCCCTCCACCCTAGTGCTGATTTGCTGTCATCTCTTTGAATCACAAAAAAGGATAATCTAATTCTAAAAAGCTAAAAAACCCACAATTGCCTACTTTTACCACTTAGAAAAAACATTAGATATGTCACACACAAAAAAAAAGTATTAAATTAAATTATTCACCTGTTTTTATTTACAGATAATTTCGTTAGAGAATTGCACAGAAGTTTGGTATATCGCAATTGGCATGTTAGTTTCTTCCCATGAGCTAATATGCTTGTGTAAAGTGGGAAACATGGTCACCCCTTTACACTGTGCTATAAAACAATAAATTTCTGTGCCCATGCAGATAGTAAGAATAAGAATACTCAAAGTCATTCCTTTTTTTTTTTTTTTTCCTGAATGGGCTTATGCATTTCTTGCCAATGTGTTGCCGCTAAAGCAAACAGCTTTTAAAAAACAAAACTGGTAACAATGACTCATACCCTTAAGTTGAAGACAGGAAGGAAAATTTTGCACTCAATATGCTATATTTAATGACATGGAAATACTGTGGCTTCATTTATGCATCTCTAAAATAATAAAAATAGGAGAAAAGAAAACACAGTTCTGCCTGCATAGCTGGGGAGGATCTGATTCTCCGGATTTCTGCATGACCTTTCCAACTACGTCATAGAATTTTAAATGGAGTCTCTGAATATATGGAAAAATCAGTATATAAAATTTTAGTTTAACAAAATTGAGACTGCAGAAAGGGATAATGACAAGTTTTGAATGTAAAACTATGGTATTTTGTTTCAGAGTTTATTTTTTGCCAAAAATGCAAAGGGAAAGAAAATGCAGTATATAAATATGAAGTTAAAGAATAAGGCTGTAAGAAAAAACATACAACACTAAAGATATTATGAGGCAACAAGCTGCTTTTTAAGGCTAGAATTCCTATCTGCAGGGATATTGTACATTACAGTGCATAAGATCAAAGTGGGAAAGCAATAGGCATCTGGGTTTTGTGCTGAAAGTACAATTCTTATATATATTTATACAAAGAAAACAGGATCTAAATAAGAGGTAGGCCTCTATGTTTTATGTTATGTTTTATTCTTTCTTTTAAGTTTATTTTTCATATTTGTACTACACTCTATCTGACACAAGTGATTATTCTGCTTATGCAAAGAATGGTTTATGAAAAAGGTATGGCTTACAGTGCTGGAACTTGTCAAAAGAAGGCATAGTAGAAAAAAGAAAATGGTGCCTACCCTTAACTGCAGATTCAACACCAGGAAACATATGAAAGCAGTCTCATTTTCCAAAGAAACAGAATGGCCACTGACACCAACTGAATGCAAGCCCGCTTGGTGCTCAGTACTTTTGAAAAGGTAGGTTGTTTAAATATAAATATGGGTATAGAAGCCTAATTTTAGGCACTTTTTAAATATCTTGACCAAGGATAAAAGGCAGCACTGTTTCAGAATGTCTTGCTTTGATAGCCCTCAAAAAAGGTAGGAGGTCTGGCTAGGTAAGATGACTGAAACTCTCATTATGTTTAATCTTTCTGCTTTCTTAACATAATGAAGAACTACTAGGTATTATATTGAAAGTGCTTTTTTCTCTGGAATACTTGATTTTCTATTGTTGTTCTGTTATTGTATTGAAAAAGTGAATGAAGTACCTATTTATTCTGTGCTTTCACAATAATTTAAAAGCGAACGCAGAGACAGCAGTAAGTTTGTATTTTATGTGAGAATCTAGAAGTCAAAGATGTTTTACAAGGCCTCTAGCTTCTGAAAAGAAAGAGGTGGTATAGAGGACACTCAGTATCTTTCAGGTCAGTGTCCTGCTGGTCAGCAGGTCACAGAACAGCAATTAAGTTGCCTTCAATTCCATTTTTATGAAAAGACCCAGGGAAGATACCAAATGAAACTAAAGGACTTGGGAAGAAAACTGGGACATTTATTAAAATAAAATAATGCATATCTGTAGAGAACAGCAAAAAACTATTAGTTTTGTTGGCTTTCTCCTTCCAACATTTCCTGAATACAATTGCTGTGAAATAAGATAATCACCTCTTTCGATACACCTTATTGTTTGACAGGATGTGTTAAGCTGGTGTCCCTAATGACTACAGTAATACCTGCTGGTAAGGGCATGTGAACATCTGAATGTAGCCAACAAGCTACTCATGACTCGTTTCTTCTCTACAGATCAATATGAGAATCTTATGGATCAATTCATTTCCTTTAGTGGAGCAAAAACCAGCATGCTTCACAACAAAAGGCAGCTATAACAAGCAGCTGTGATACTTACATATAATTCCTCACAAAGGAATGAACAAAGGAACACCTTTAAAAAAAATATGTCAGTCTTCATTATTTTAAAGTATAAAATTCATACTCACATTTTTTCTCTTAAATTCTCTATGGGAAAGTATGACCCAATCTGCTAGAATATTTATGTGTTTGGTAAAAAGCAATGAGGTTTCACCTTCCAGCCAAAAGGTCCTCAGAAGAACTGTCTGTGCCATGACTTGCTGATTCTGTGAATTGGTCCCTTCAACCAAACTGTAAAAAAAAGTAAAGTGAAAAACCTAAATCTTTATGCCACTTCGATTACTATAGTTACCAGACAGAAACCTTGTATTCTGTCAAAACAGACACAGGTTTGGCAATTTTTAAGTATGGAAAGATCAGACACAATTTCTGATGAATAATAAGTAAAATAATGATGACTATTACAGTCAGACTGAAGGAATTCTAATGTTGTGCTAATATTATATAACGCAAAGGATGCCTCTACGTATTGGGTTCATGTGGTGAGGTGTGAGAAGCTGCCCCCACGTCCCACAGAGCCAAGGCCAGCCGGCTCCAGGACTGACCCGCCGCTGGTAGCGCCTCTGGGACTACGTGTGTAAGAAGGGGGAAAAACCACCTGCTTTGCCATTGCAGCTGGAGAGAGGAGCGAGAAGATGCGAGAGCCACAACTCTGCAGGCAGCCAGGTCAGTGGAGGAGGAGGAGGAGGAGGAGGAGGAGGAGGAGGAGGAGGAGGAGGAGGAGGAGGAGGAGGAGGAGGAGGAGGAGGAGGAGGAGCTCCAGGCCCGGGAGCAGAGGTTCCCCCGCAGCCCCTGGCGCAGCCCCTGGCCAGGCAGGCCGTGCCCTGCACCCACGGAGCTCACGGGGGAGCAGATGCCCACCTGCAGCCCCCACGCCGGGGCAGGGGGGTGTCCGAAGGGGACTGTGACCCCGTGGGGAGCCCCACGCCGGAGCAGGCTCCTGGCAGGACCCGTGGGCCCGTGGAGAGAGGAGCCCACGCTGGAGCAGGTTTGCTGGCAGCACTCGTGACCCCGGGGGGGACCCACGCTGGGGCAGCCTGTGCCTGAAGGGTGCACCCCGTGGGACGGACCCGCGCTGGAGCGGTTCCTGGAGAGCTGCAGCCCGTGGGCAGGACCCACCTCGGAGAAGTTCGTGGAGGGCTGTCTCCTGTGGGAGGGAGCCCGAGCCGGAGCAGGGGAGGAGTGTGAGGAGTCCTCCCCCTGAGGAGGAAGGAGCGGCAGGGACAAAGGGTGATGGACTGACCACAGCCCCCACTCCCCGTGCCCCTGCGCTGCTGGGAGGGGAGGGAGAGAAGTCGGGAGTGAAGCTGAGCCTGGGAAGAAGGGAGGGGTGGGGGGGAGTTGTCTGAAGATTTGGGTTTACCTCTTATTACCCTCCTCTGATTTGATTGCTAATAAATTAATTTTCCTGAGCTGCGTCTGTTTTGCCCATGATGCTAACTGGTGAGTGATCGCTCCCTGTCCTTATCTCGACCCACGAGCCTCTCGTTGTATTCTGTCCCCTGTGCAGCTGAGGAGGGGAGTGACAGAGCGGCTTGGGGGGGTCCAGCCAGGGTCCACCCACCACACTTTACTATATAAAAGGCAGAGCGAAACCAAAACTTTTTTGTACTTCGTAAACTAAAGAAGGATAATTGTCTCTGCAGCAGAAGATAGCAGTTAATTGAATTAATAAAAAAGTAAAATCAGTATGTTCAAAATGCTGCTTGTCTACTTTAAAGAACAAATACTGAAGCATTGTAAAGCTAAAATACAAATTTATGAGCAAAATCACAATGCTCACTGAAACTTGTAATATAGTAAGATAATAGGCTGGGAAAAGTTAGAGGCCTTAAAACATGACTAGAAAAAACCATATACACATTACAATACACAAACTAAGAATTGAGAAATACAAAAGGAAATGCTAAACTGCCAACTCTGTAGAACAGTATCTTATTAGGGACATACTAAAATCAGGATACAACCTGCTGTAGATGCAGAAATCCATGTGAAATTGTGAAAAAGTAATAAGAAAGCATTATCCTATAAAACCCACCTTTTTGTCAGAAACTGTACTTCAGCTTTTACTAAATCAAAGAAAAACTTCAATAATGTTTTGTGAACTATCCTCTGTTCATCTTCTTTCCCTGAAACTGGGACTGCATGACAAATGGATTTGCAATAAAGGCAAGACCTGAAAAATAAACACCGAAAAATCCATTTGTATGACAGAAATCATAGCCTGATCTATCGGCAAAAAAGTCAGCTTTGACTTTTGACAATTTTGACAAGGAAATACCTTGCTCCCCAGCAACATTCATCATTTTAAAGCCTAACTTTGCAGGTTTAAAGCTGCATTTTCCTAAAAAAAATTAACACATTTGTGACGGGCTTTGTTGCAGATGAAGATTTTATACTATAGCGTAAACTAAACAATTTAACCCTATTTAATTTTTTTGTCACTACTTGAGGTTCTGTACAATTACTGAATTGAACAGAACTTCTTTAAAATCCTTTAATTACAAGCTACTCTTGTAATAATTTATAAACATCATAACATCCTACAAACCTTAGTTCAGAAACCAGTTCACACATAGTATTTGATGGGACTACAGTTTGTGATCAAGCCTAATGATTGTCTAATGTGATGGAGATAATTTTGAAATAAAGTGCAAACACATTTTTTTAGCTAGACTTTTGAGTACTGGAACCACCAGGTATACAACTGTTGGGCATTCACATTCTGCTAGTAAGCACTAAAAGATAAAACACTCTATCTAAAAGATAAAGTATCTTCCATTCCATGCAACATGTTCCTAATAAAAACTATTAAATGTCCAATTACAGTGATTGAAGTACAGTGATTTAATGCCCTTTAAGACTTCAGACATGCTTACAATCACACACATTTATATATGTTATCGCAGTTGTATCAAAGTAGTTAAGTGTTACTTAAGATTTGATGACAGCAATAAGAAGAGGTAGAGTTTCTCTTCCAAATGATCAGAAGATTTCTACTGATGTAAATTACAAAAAATGAGTTGTCAAGCTAAAGCATAGACTAACGACCCAAACGGCTCCTATGTACTGAGTCTTGTATTTGTAGATGTGTAGGATATAATCAGACCTTCTGAACAAGATGATAAAGTTTATGATTAAAATCAAAATACAGCATGAAGCTTCATGTTTGATAAAACAAGACTGTGATTTGCTTTGTAACTGCAGATACATACGTGTGTGTGTGTATATATACATATACATCAGCACAGCAATAATACATAGATTATTATAAATTGTGGAAAGCTTAAAAAATAAAGTAAATAATTTCTAAAAAAGGAAGGAGGACAAGAAAATCTAATTTTTTTTTTCTTTAAAAAAAAAAAATTCTTTGCCTGTGAGCTAACAGCGGAACATAAAGTGAAAGGTCCAAATTCCAGTTACAATTCTAGATCTTCACATACAATTAACTTGTTCTGCTGAAAATGCAACTTTGATACAATAGAATTCCAGCCCTTCTCTTCCTTTCCTGAGTTTGGAGTAACATAACTATTGCATCCAACATATCATTAAACCTTCTTACCTTACAAGCACCTGTAAAAAGGACCATGTGCCTTCCTTACAGACAGGACATTGAAGAAGATCCAAATAGTACTTTAACATAGATGGGGACTTCCAAGGAGGATCATTTTGGAGAATAAGGTTCAAAATGTGTTGAAGTTTAGCACAAAATGTTGCATCAGTATTTCCCTGTAATAAAATGAGAAAATAATATTGGCTCTATACTGGCCACAGATCCATAATCACTAAGAGTTTATACATCTTCTTTATTCCTTACAATCCCAAGGGACCAAACTTAATCAGTGATGTGCAATTTAATGCGTAACTACAAGCATCAAAATTCAGAGTTTACAAGAAAAAAAAAAAAAAAACAAGGAGAGCTTGCTCTAGTGAGCTATTCTAGTTGAATGTATCAGTGCTTAGAACAAACCTTCCTCTCAGCTGAGCTATCTGTGGCCTACTAGGTTAAAAAACAACATCATACAAGTGCTGCTTCTAAAAGCAACAAAAAAAGAATTCTGGGCCAATTTTCCCACAATATTTAAAGTACTACATTCACACAGCTTGTAAATAAATAATAATTTTTAAAAATCCTTAAGTATTCTTCCCTTTATAACACAAACACACTGATGAACACTAAGTGAAGGGTGAATACATCACTAAAAAACACTAAATACAATGTCAGAAGCAAAGATTATAATACTTCAACTTCTTGCTTTAACATTTATAATGCTTTAGCCTTTATCACTCACCAGTAGGGCATATTCTAGAAGAGAATGAAGAACTTGCACAGGAGGTGTAGCATACTTTTGAGCAGCAGTAAGTTCTGTGATGACATCATGAAATAAATACTCTTCCACTAATCCTTCAAGTATATACCACCTGTTTTTGGATACAACAGTACCTTTAACCTAGGAATGAGACACCTTTGTAAGTAAAAGAACATCTTGGAAAAAAAAAAACTTACAAGAAATAACAGGAAATCTCTAAGTAAAATGTCAGTAATATAATAAAACAGGGAGAAGGATATATATTGAACCAGGAGAATTACTTGTTGCCTGATCCAATAAGCTGCTGTCATCTAGCAAGGCCTTCACTCTCATTGACCTGGGCTTTCACTGAAAAGATAGTAGGCTTCAGAATGTGCTTCTCTTCTTAAAAGATCTGAATACATCTACCCTTTTAAAAAACAAATTACAATTCACACAATAACTTTTCTATAATTTATTCTGGAAGGGTATGAAAAGGCATGTTAATATTTCTAGAAGTGCAGAGTAAATCCCACAGTATATGGCCAGAGCAGTAATATAATTAGTACCACCGAATAGCTAAAAAAAATAGAGAAAAATATAGAATCATGAAATGCATCCTTTATGAGTACATATCATAAACCTATAAACCATATAACTGTTCTATCTCCCTAGTTGTCCTACTCCCATATAGCATGTCAGAGAGGCAGCTAACGCTGCAGACAGCACAAGTATTGATCCCAGTGGATTTCAAAGCTCTGAAGATCTTCTTAATGGCACTGGGCTTCCTTCTTATTCTCTGCCACTCATGACAGCAAAACACTTAACTCTGCGAGCATTCAGAGGACCCAGAAGGATCTAATGGCTTTCATGAAATGCTGTATCTGCCCTGCAATTTCCCTGTTATTGTCTCTATTCTCAGCTTTACAAACCTTTATTTCCACGGATGAATGATATGAAAGAGGAGCTATTGAAGATCTTAGCTACACTGCTATTTACACCTTTCCTTCAGCCCAGGTTCAAGCCAAAGCTAAGATGCACAAACTAGTTGTAACCGTATTGCTAACTGAAGAACAGCTTCCCTCTGCCTGGTAACTTCTGTTTTGAAATCCAGCTATTTTGTTTGATCATACCGCCTGAGGCTCTAGTAAATTCAAAGAAACTGGGATAGGGAGTCACAACTGAGAAGTAGAGTCAGGAAGCTTATTGATTGGACTGCTGGGAATTAAACAGTTATATAAATTTATTGTTGCTCTAGTCCCTGACAACTTTATGATCTCTGACAAAAAAAATATGACTCTTAATGTACATTAGATAAAGCTACTCAAGACATCATAACAATTGTTTTAAAATTAGTTTAAAATTTAAATTAACACAGACTTTGAGTGCAACTGTGGTTCTGAGGTTTATGGAGTACACTCATATTAGCAAGACATTTTCCTAAGTGTTTCAGTTATAAACTAAGAATATTAGGAGCTCAGGTCAAACCTGAAAAACTTCTGATAGAAATTTTAATCATATTTACATCACAGCTAAAGTCTCAGTGAATGAGTTCTACCTTAGCATTAGATACTTAATTTCTCTTCAAATGTTTCACTTCTCAGATTCCTAATGTATGCCGTTGTTACATTAGCAATAAATAAAGCTGCTCATCTAGACAATTTTCTTTTAATCAAGTCTTTGTGCATCTGGCATTTGCAACTCACATTTATTTCAATTTTCCCATTCATATATGCACTATTAAAATCTTCACATTATTTCCTTTGGAAATAATGGTTGCATTCATACTTTTGTAATGTTAATTATATGCAAACAGCACATCTAAAGAGCAATCATAAACTGTTTAATGGCAGTCAAAGAACAACTTCTCTGTTGCCTGGATTTAAGATGTGTGAAGATGACTGAGTATATTGTGCTTGTACAAGCACGTTACTCCTGGCCCTCGTCCAGTGATCATACCAGAGTCCCTCTTTTTATATTGTGATTGAAACTTTTATCTCTTGAAAATTCTGGTACTAGAAGACACAGCAACATCAATGCATTATTAGGAAAGTGCACTGAAACAAAGCTGTTTTGGGAGAGTGTGAGGCCTTTTGCATTACATTCAAGACAAGGAGGAGGAACTGGAGAACCAGTTTTCAGCTTATTTGTAAGGAGTAAGAAGGGATGATAGGAAACTGAGGTGACAAACTTCCTTCAGTATCAGGAGAGACCTACTGTAGGGCCTTAATATTCAGCAAGTTGTACGACACTGCGTTGGCCCACGTTCCAGCTGATGAGGAACTAGCAGTTTCTTTTGAAGCACTGCTAGCACAAACATTAAAACTTTGAGCAGAAACAAATAAGAATTGAAGGTCCACAGACAATAAGTTGTGTTTTATATAGCATAATGTAGCAAAGAAGCTGACAAAAGAGAAATATTTATTTTACGGAAGATGATAGATAACAGAACATTTAGCCGAATTAAGCCTTCCTAGCAGATGCAAGCTGAGATGACCGAATATAGTATGCATTCCTGTTAATTTAGTTTGTAGGTTTTACTTTACTTCACTAGCATTATTGGAAATGTTTATGAAAATCATAAATAAACTGCCTATAAAAACCCATATCAGATGCAAAGGATAGCAATGGATATTCCACCAAACAACAGAAGACAGTGGCAGGTCATGCACAAGAAAAGTACTAGAATTTGGCTTAAAATTCCAAACAAAAAATTATATTAACAGTACAGAGTAACAATTTCAGCTTACATGTGTTAAGAAAGCTGCAGTTTTCTCTCATAAATTCAATAAACTAAACATCAACATTAAATTTCAATGCAAATCTGTTCAGTAACAGAAATGCACACAGTATTTTTCCCATTAGTAGCAGTGTTGTATGATTACAAAGGTATTTTAGTGCTCATATTTAAAAAATATTTTTCTCCTCCCTTCCCTATTGTGTCAATAGAAAGAAATCTGATAAAAAGAGATTTCTGTGAAGCCTGAGTGCTCATTTTGTCAGACTGGGACCTCATTTATATATCTAGTAACTATTTACATAGTACAGCTCATGAAGATAATAAATCTTCAGTTACCAAGAAATACAGGAAACTACTAGATATTATTTGTTTCCTGTTTTATCTTTTAAATAACACAAGTTACCATATAACATACAGTAGCTCATAGATATTACATATAATGCCCTTTAAGAACTAAGAGGTAATGTTTCAACATTATTTAAAGATTTATTTTTAGTATTATAAATAGAAAAGGGAAAATTTTTCAAGTATTTATTACTTAAGAGATAACAAAAGCTTAATAAAACTGTCCTGGGATGAGTGAGCGGTGGAGTTTTTTGGTGGCAGAGGAGGGGGCTATAGGGGCGGCCCCCTGTGAGAAGCTTCTCGAAGCTCCCCCAGCTCCAAGTCAGCTCCACCTCTGCACCAAAACTGAGCCAATCAGCTGCGCCTCTGCGAGAACGTATTTAAGAGGGGACGTGGTGACGGGCAGTGGGACTGGTGAGGAGGAGTTGGGGCAGCTGCCTGAACACCAAGGTCAGTGGAGGAATGGAGGAAGAAAGGAGGGGGGGAGGTGTGCCGGAGCAGAGACCCCCTGTATCCTGTGGGGAGACAGCAGGGCAGCCCCCCCTGCCACCCATGGAGATCTACGGTGGAGCAGACATTGATTTATGGCCTGTGGCTTCTGCCTGGATGATCAAGTTGCTGTGCCTGAAGAAGGCCGGGGTCTCGTGGGAAAAGGCAGCCCCGCTGCTGTAATTCAGCGCTGGGAGGATTGCAGCATGCGGGGGAGTCCCACGCCGGAGCAGCTCGGGAAGGGCTGCAGCTGTGGGAGGGAATCCAGTCGGAGGAAGTTAGTGACCCATGACAGAGCAGTGTGGGGAACGCTGCGGCCCGTGGGAGGAACTCATGTCGGAGAAAGTTTGTGGAGGACTGTCTCCTGTGAGAGGGGGACCACGATGGAGCAGGGGGAAGAAGTTCCAGAAGCTCCCTCCACCGCAGATGGCAGAAGTGGCAGCACTGACTGCACCCCCCATTCCCTGCCCCTGCGCCACTGGGGGAGGAGGTAGAGATATCGGGAGCAGAGCTGAGCCCGGGAAGAAGGGAGGGGTGGGGGGAAGGTGTGCTCAAGATGTGGCAATGCTTCTCACTGTCCTACTCTGTTATGTGTTGTTAGTGTCTGTAATAAATGTATGTTCTTTTTCTTTCTTCCCCCAGCGAGTCTGCCTTTTGCTCATGATCATAAAGGGGGATTTTTCCCCCTCCCAGTCCTATCTTGAACCCCAAGCCTGGCTCTCTGTCCCTTCTTATTGCCGGAGGGGAAGGGAGAGAGAGTGGATGGTTGGCTGCCGACCAGGCTCAAACCACGACAAAAACTTGTTGCTGACCTGTATCTGGTTTATAGCATATATTTGGCTCAATGGGAAGAAAAATGAGAAATTAGCTAAATAGTAAAAAAAAAAATAAATTAAGTCAAAATTGTTATGAAAATAGGACTGGAAAACATAATGTAATCTACTTGCAATCTGTGGACTCTGAAACCCACATGATGATGTTTAAGGCTTATGCTGCCAGAACAACTACTGTTTCTTTCTGCAGTGAGACTTTAGCTAAAGTCTGTCCCTACTAGCAAAACCAGGTGAGCACCGCAAACAGTTGTGTATACTTTCTCTTTATTGCTACTGCATAAATACAGTTCTTGAATAATATAAAGATGCTCTAAATCACGTTAAGGCATCTTTCTTTCTTTTCTTCTAACATTAACAGGTAAAGTTCTCTTAGCCAGCAGGATTAAAGAGTTTCTTTGTAATAAAGGCGACAACCCTGCATGCGTTGGAAGAACAAACAAAATTCAAAAATATTCCAGTGGTGCTCTATAACTCTCAATAATTTTGTCAGAGTTTTGTATAACAAATAATTTTGAATGTTTCATCAATACTTCACTATGAAAGTATGTTTGCCTAACTTCATAATAAAATTCCATATAGGCAACTTGTTCTCTTTGTGAGAATCCTTACCTCCAAATTGCATTGATCCAGGCCGTTTTTTTGAGCGAGCCTGTGCATAATAGCCTGTAAAACAGGATAAAGTCAGCCTGCACACTGGATACCAATAAACATACTAAATAAATATTGTATGAACCCCCCAAATGGCAACTTCTGTTAAGCACAGTTCAACCAAAACATTCAACATAGTGATCTATTCATATTTATCTTTTCAACATTTGGATGGCAAAATTATAAAACAGAGGATTAGTGAACAAAAAGGAAAATAGTATGGGAAAATTTTCTCCCCATTTTTCTTGTTATTCTCCTGTTATTCCTCTTCTTCTTGTTTATGTTTAAGGACAGTTTTACTAGATTTGGTCCACTTAACCACATTAAAAAATATTAAGGGTTTTCAGGTTTTCTATGGCAAAATGCCAACTTTGGATTCCTCTTGCAAGTTACCTATAACGTGAAGATATGGCAGTAGATGCAAAAATGTTTTACTATTATTGCTATATTTAGTTATGGCTTAGTGTTACAATATTACTAATACATGTTACCAAAAAAAGTCTTTTTAGGAGAGATTGTGTTTAGGATGATGATCACTCCATCTGCACATAACATCATAGTTTGAGGGAAAGATAACCTGATAGTGCGCTCGTTGTGTGTAGTATACATGAAAAATCAACAACACATTTATTTTTTTAAAGGTCTGAAGCATAAAGTCTTGATAAAATGTCACTGATAGAAGATGTAGCATTTGAAGGGGTATAGACTTAAGCAGCATGAGTCTTCTATTTGTTAACCTTTTGTTTAAATATTGAGGACTTAAAAGTTCTAATTCTTTTGCTGCTAAGAACTTAATATTAATATACATAGAGGACCTGATTTTGCAGTTACAAAACCATACAGCACTTCATGTAAGCAAGCTCCTACAAAAATACTGACACACCATCACCTGCATCACTGTAACTTACAGAGGTAATATAACCTAACCCAAAGTAACTGTTTTTTCTATATACAGTGTTTTTAATTACTAATGTGGCACCTTTATCAGGATTAGATATGTGACAACATTAAAATAAAGGAGTGCATTTAGCTCTACTTTTCACTTGTAATAAAACGCATTCATATGAATCAACAAAATACTTGCCTCTAGGATATGGTTAGTGTTAAAAATGTGTTAGTGTAATTCAGCTAGATAACAGGAAATTCACAGAAACACTGTAATCCAAAGAAATTTTGTCAAACAATATTAGCTACTACTTATCTCATGTATTACGCCAAGATTTCAAGTAGCCAACCCTGTCTTCCACACACCCATGCCTACCAGTTACCACTACAAAATTGTATTTTAACAAACAGTAGATGTAGTAAATGTGGGATTATTAAACATTGCAGGTTAAAATGCATTATTACTATTTCAAAAGATGTTAAAATATCTACTTCACTAGCTCAGTACTGTAATGAAGGATAAATTTAATAATATACATTTTACTCTAAGAAAGCATTAACTGTTACTTACCACAGAAAAATACATATGTTTTATAACAGCATTTTTCATTTCAGCAAGCTGCATGTTAGGTATGATTTGGTCTGTTTCTTGTGCAGCTAGGCAAGGATTCATTTGGATAACTTCAGTATTTTGCATTTCTTCCTGTGCAGAGCAAAAAAAATACCACTTTTTTAGTTTCAAAGCTAATGCTCTAAACCAGCTTTTATGTGCTAAGTCTTTCTATATATTCTGTTGTAAACCCCTGAGTGCATGTGCATGCTTATGTAGTTGTTCAAGGGTCTACATGATGTGCCAGATCAACAACGGGTGGTTTGGAAACAAACCACTGACATTGTAGGAAGCTATACCATAGGAATTATCAATGCAAACTTCCCATAATTATTTTCCTAGCTGACTTTAACTCTGACATAAACCCTGTGGCTGAAACAAGAGATGTGTTTCCATAATGGATTTTCTCTTTAAACTTTTCAAAAACTAAAAACAAAGCCCACACCTTTTCAATTAGTCAAAAATTTAGTAAGGATTTTTTAAGACTTCTTTCATCAGTTTGACTAAGACCATGCATTTATTTTATAAAGCCTACTACAATTAAAACTTTTCAGTTCTTGGCTATAAGCCTGAACCAAACTAGTAATTTAAAGGTTCTTTTTTTCAACAATTTATTCTCTAAGTCCACCTATTGTCTCCAGCTACTTCTTCAGCCCAGGGAATGAGGAAGTATTTATCAAAGTGGTTACCAACTCATTCTGAAAAGGTTCTTAGTAAAGCCACATCATTTTTGTTAGTAAAAAAATAACTACAAAAAAACATTTAAATGTTTTTTCAGGATATGAGAACAGCACATTTCCATAGGGGCTTCAACGTATACTTTTTGTATCCTTTTAATCAAATATGCACAGACTAAGAATAAAATACCATGTTCGTTTTAGGCAAGCACACATATAGCTACAGAACCATCCTCCTCCTGCAGCATGATGAGTTAAGAATGCAGATACAAGTGAAGTGTTCCCCTTGTTTGCAGTGCTGACGGGCATTTTTTAATTGAGAACAGATGCAGAAGGCTCAGGGTAGCTTGCCATCTAATTCAAACACCTAAATCTGATAGGTGAGTTAAGCTTAGGAAATAAGAGTAGGCAAAAACCACACTAGCGATGCAATCATAAGATGCAAGCCATGAAGAGTTTATATTTTTAAGATAAAGTTTCAAACACCACACGTTTCATCCTGTCTGCAGATTTTCCCTTAAATGTGTTATTCAGATCAAAAGCATTTGGCATGTGCATAACTATTTCTAAACAAATACTAAGTTTGTCACACATTACAGAAGAGATCTAAGTATTTTTGGTAACTTGAAAAGAACTCCAAATAGCTTTTGATAAGCCAGTGGTAACTGAGCTCTGATGTATTAACTAGTCTTCTTATAGCATATTCTGAACATTATTTTCAACATGCTTATAAAAATACGTATATTCAAACAATTTATAGTACCATATTAGCAAAATTTTATGAATTCCAGTATGTATTCAACAAAGCATTTAAAGTCACTCTTGAAATTTGAGACTATCTCCCTAAATTTATGCATGTGCTTTATTATCTTGAACCAATAAATTTGACACCTTGCATGATGAAATTATTAATGACAATCTCACAGAGTATTTTAACACTAGATTTATGAGACTGAGATTATAAAAACATATACTGAAACATAAAGATGAAGAAAAGACTTGGTTCAGAAAAAATCACAGCAAGAATAGTCTGAACCTCAGTGCAGTTCCACTGAAAAAAAATAATACTGTTTTGCTGAATTCAGCATCTGGACATATATGTGGTTTCGGAGAGGAAGAGGGGTATTTATTTTTTGCTAGAAGTGGCAGTCAAATAGCAGGGCTACAAATTTACAAAGTTAGAACATTCTAATGAATTATGTGCCAAGAACTTCTGAGAGGGGGAGAAGAGAGCATGTCTAGCATTCTTTGATAATGCCTAATACATTTGGACAAGTGCTGTGATTTGATTGCCTATGTTTTATTCTTCTCCTTTTCAGAGACTAGGAGTCTTGGCAGTTTTCAGAGTTCTTTAGATGCATTTAAATAGAAAGGTAATGCTCTCTTGGCCTCTGAGGTGAATTACTTAATGAAATCTAAGGAAAAAAAAAAGATATGTGCAAGTTAATGGACTGGTTAAGATGGAAACCTGTTATCACACCTGGGAGGAATTCAGGGTGCATAGTAAGAAACACTTTATTCTCATAGAGATCAATAAAAGGTGAGGTAGCCATAAAAACTTGACACTCATTCCTCTAATAAATGTAAATGTCTATCTTAGCTGAAAGGTGTAATAGAGAACAGCTTCCCTGAACAGGTTTCATTAAGAGAGTAAGCACAAGACTAACATCCCATGTTGATGAGTGTTTTGTTCAGGGTGTAAACATTAAGACCTTTCAACCCTCTTCTCACCCTTTTGTAACAGCTTTACTGGTCATTAAAACAGGAAGAGCAAAGTATATGGTTTAATCTGAAGAATCCAAAGGATTTTCAAGTGAAGTAAGGCACTCCCAGTAACAAACGCAGTTTTAGCTCCTACTTGCTTGCAAAGGTAGCATTTTCAATTAGCAGTTGACTAAAATCATCCCATAGTCTCAGAAACTACCAGACTAAAAACAATCTTCTGAGGCCTTTGAGTAGTTTCCAGGTCAAAATGCTAAGAAGTTCTGAACTGAGCATTTGCATCAATGGTGAACAGTGCATCTGGTAAGCAAACAACTATGAATCACGAGACACCTGTCTCAAGGGAAACAGTAAAAAAAAATTCTAGTGAATTCTGAACATACAAGAAAATTCACTGAACAGTGACATGTCCCCTCACACTTCAGATGGAAAGATGAAAGAGAAATAAGCTGCTTTTCCTGCTCTGCCTTATCTTTTGCATCATTGTAATTTTAGCTTCTGATCCAATTTTGGAGCTGAATGGCAAACCTAACACTGAACCATTTGTGCTGTATGCTTCATCTGGCTTAGCCACTCCAACAAAATACTCCGTCTCTCTGGAATGATGGCTTTTAGTGTGGCTTCTCTCTTCAAATAAGGTCCATCCAGGTTCTCACATCTTAGTGGATATGATGATGTACTGTCTCATGTTCTCGTTTAGTTAACATAAGAAAGCTGTTACAGGGAATCCTCTTCTACCAAACAGGAAATACAGAGCTTGCATTCTCAATAATTTAACACTTTTGACTAGTAAAGGAACGTTTTTTTCATGATTGGCAACAGGTTTTCTAACATGAAGAGAGACAAAGTTGAGTCTCGTCTTTACACATGTGAGCATGGGATTTGAATTGTAAGGACTCATTAACATTTTCTGAAATGCAGACAGTAACGTCCCTTCAGACTCCATGGATGGGAGTTCTGCAAATGAAGGAACCCTACAGTATATAAACTGTTGGTATAGAAGACATTCTTAACAAGTCCTCCAGTCATGCTAATATATTCTCATAAAGTTACTGGTGCTTATAGAATCCTTTAGTTTAATTTTGTTTAATTTTGTCTACAAGTATGGAACTATCTTTCTACATTAATGGAAAGTTAAATGTACACTCAAATAGCAGTTCATACAACTATTTTACGAAATTTTACTCTTGCAGCATTGGGCTCAGTACATTAAAAGGGAATATAGGTGACCAGCTTACATTAGATTCCTAGCACAGAAATAGTCCAAGTGAATTTTCTCTGCCTGGTGTACCATTCCCTCACAAAACTCACACTGCAACCACCAGCTCTTCCCAGCTATGAAGAATGGCTAGCAAACTGATTTTGAGTCAAGAATCTGAATTTTAACAAAATAAGCTACAGACTATTTTACCATAGTCTATCTATAATGTTACAAAAATAAGGTAAAATAACTGAAGTCAGCTGACAAAAGAAATTATATTGAATTTAAAGCATGAAGATACCATTATAATACTGCCAAACAAAGTAGAAAATACATATATTCACATACATAGGTAGAAAGATAGATAGATACATTTGCACATTTGAAATCCTTACCAAAATAAAGAGAATATAAATGAAAAAATATTTTTTTTTTCTTAGTATTTTGTGAATAACCGTTTTGTTGATGGTCACCTGCACTGGTACTTCCTAACAAAGTCTAATTAATTTTTCCAGTAATTGTACCACAAAGCAGGAGCCAAAGAAGAACATGAAGAGGAAGAAGAAATAATGTATGCTTCCTTGGTGTTATTTCTCCCAGTCTGAAACAAAATACCACTTTTGGAAAGACAATTTTTCTATTATGGAATCAGAATCGTTGAAGTCGGAAGGGATCTCTGGAGACCACCTGGTCCAAACCCCCAGCCCAAGGAGGGCCACCTAGAGCCAGCTGCCATGGACCATGCCCAGACAGCTTTTGAATATTGCTAAGGATGATGACTCCACAGTCTCTTCAGGTAATCTGTTCCAGTGCTCCATCACCCACACAGTAAAAAAAAACACAAAAAAAAAAAAACAAAAAAAGGAGAGGGTTTCCTGATTTCCAGACAGAGCCTCCTATGCTTCAGTTTGTGCTCCATGCCTCTTGTTCTGTCACTGGGCACCACTGGCAACAGCCTGGCTCTGTAGTTTTTGTACCCTCCTTTCAGGTATTTATATACATTCATGAGCCTTCTCTTCTCTGGGATAAACAGTGCAACAGTAAGTTGTGTTACCTTTAATCAAATTACAAAACATTCAGGATGACTGTATTCCCCTCTATTATTAATGCCACATTATTTACAGTAATCAGTAAACCTGACATCAGTTGCTAACAATGACAATGAAAAACTGATTTTATGTATGTTTTTTAATTTAATTTACTTACCTGAAAAAGATAATCTCCTATATATTGAAAAGAGTAGTATCGAGCTTCAGAAAGACTCTTTCTGGTTTGTATAGGAAGAGTTTTATTACTGGTAAATAGGTGAGTTATATCACAGTCCTCATTCTGAGATGAACGTATGATTGCCTTTCCAGCTTGAAGAACTCTAAACAAACATATTTGAAAATATGTATTTACTGCATTATATTAATACTTGTGGTGTCATCTGTCATTATCTCAACCCTTTGAGCCCCACATTGCGGGCCAAAATGAACTGTCGTGGTTTGAACCTGGCTAGCAGCCCAACACTATGCAGCCACGTGCCCACCCTCTCCCACCTGGGGATGAGGGGAGGGAATCAAAGGGGTAAAGGGAGACTCGTAAGTTGAGATAAAAACAGTTTAAAAATGGTAATAAAACAGCAACAGTAATAGAAAGTATAAACGGACAATGCACAATGCAATTGCTCACCATCTGCTGACTGATTCCCAGCCTGTTCCCGTTATTTATTATATAATAATAAATGTAATTCAGCAATTCTGAAATAACAAGATCCCAAAAGCACAACCCCAGAAGCGAGAGAGAGCCCCCCTTCCCAGCCACCCCTCCTCTATACAGTGAGCGTGACGTTCCATGCTGTGGAATATTTCACTGCCCCGTTTGGGTCTGGCACTCTGGCCGTGCTCCCCCCAGCTCCCTGTGCGCCCGCGCACAGGCAGGACGTGGGGAGGTGGGGAGTCCTTGAAATCTCTGCAACAACCAAAAATGTCAGCGTGTTATCAGCATTCTTCTCATACCACATCCCATATTGAGTCCAAAACACAGCACTATGCCAGACACTGAGAAGAAACATTAACTCTATTCCAGCCCAAACCAGGACATAAGTGCCTAAAGCTCCATTATCATTCACAAACTACAAGCATGCAAGTGCAAGAGAATAAGGTTTCTAGGTGTATGGCACTGCCCAACCTTCATTAGGAGGATAAAAAAGTGCTTAATAGCCTTCAGAAAAGGAAAGAACCCACTTAAGACATCCTTTTCTTCACAATTTAACACTATTAATTAAAATCAATGTATACTTCCAACCTATCTGATAGAAGGCTTTACTGTGCAGTTTTTCAAAGATCAAATTTGGTGACAGCAGCTATAATTTATTGCATTACATTCCCTACAATGATGATGGTCTTTCAATTACGTTTTGCAATACATTAAGTGGTTTACCAAAATTGGAACACTGCTTTTCTGAACTGTAACATGAAATTTTCATAATGCAAATACACTTTTTCACTTCATTTTGGAGTCATTTACAGCATTTGGTGCTGCCCAGTATCATACACAGAAAACAGATTTGTTTGTCTTTGGGACACCATTACACATATGAGTTTCCCAGGGGCAATTTCCAGAGTTGTACTGCCAGTTATTCCTATCTTTTAGAAAAGATGCCATACAAAAAAATGGGGGAAGAAATAAGGTCTCTTTACTTGCTGGATACAAGTTTTGTTTTTCAGAATCTGGGTATGTAGAAAGAAAATGATGCTGTTCTCACGCAACCATCCAACAGCTAGGCACTAAAGGAAGGAAAAACATAAAAGGGGGAAAAAAGGCACAGTGCTGTAAATATTAGAGAAAAATCAATCTTTCCCCAAAGCTACAGTGGCCTTTATGACTGAAAACAGTACTTGCTGGAGACAAAAATATATCTACCTTGCAATGTTTTCTGACTGAGTAAAAGGATCCCAATGTTGGTGCATGGAAAAGAGTCTGGAAAAAGAGATTCCTTCCACAAAAACACCTGTTTCACCTGTGTTTCTGATGTAGTGCCTGTTAAAGGCTATTTCTATTGCTAAGAGAGAGTTGTGCAACACAGCATTTCAATAGTGTTATGATGAAGATCTGCATAAGCAGTTTGTACAGAAAAAGAAACAGCATTTTTCACAAGTGTAGCAGGATGAGTGCATCTTTCTGCAAGACAGCACATAGTAAACTCTTCTGCTCAGCCAAGAAAAGAGCATACTTAGAATGTCTTCAGTTGGCAAAACCAGAAGATGGTAACTTCAGTTACACCTCAATTTGTCTTTATGAACTGTAGACAGACAGGCATTCTGCGATGCAGCATGCAGCCCTGTACCATCACCAACCAGACAAACTGTGCTTCCCGTCTTGCCTGTGCATCTGTGGCATGCCCGGTCCCCAGTACTGCTAACTAACTGGGCCAACAGAGGAGGGTAGGACAGTGTCTGCTCCTGAAATGAATGTAAAGCTCTAAACAGTGTCAGGGGATGTTTGCTTTTGCGGTACCAGAAGCAAACATTACTTAATACTCTGTCTGCAATTCAGTATAGTATTTAAACCATGGAATCTAAATGTGTAGGAAGAGTACAGGGGGAAAAAAAACGCAGTCACAGAATTCTTGCACTTCAGTTGTTTTCCTTTTCTCTGCTTTTCCTTTACACTTTTACCCTTTCCCTTCTGAACTATCTGTACTTACATTGTATCAGAAACATCTACTACGGTATAAACCAGGTCTTCAGAACTACAAGAAGCTGTGACATAGATGGGACGCAAAACCCGACCAGATCAGTCACAGTGTGGCCCAGATCCGTAAGAGACAATTCACAGCTGGCTCAGCTCACTCATCCAAGTAAAATATTGTTCCAGCTGCTATCTGACTACAACATCCACACAAAATAAACAACTACTCATAAAAAACAGAAGCCTATGTAAGCCTCAAGAGGAAAGTTTCTGTAACCAGTTTACTTAAGATGCAAGCATATGTGAATGCATGTTAGTTTTGACACTATACTAAAAGAAAGCAAGAAAAGCAGTGATGTTAAAGAATTAAAATAATTTTATTATAAGAAATATGGACGTATATTATTGAAAACAATTCAGAATTTGAAGAGCTGGAGATTGTTATGGACCAAATTAAGTGGGTTTTTTTTCTTACGTTTTTCTTTTTTTTGTTATGGACCAAAAATGTGTTCAACCATACAATAAGTGTTCCATCGTTTATTACTTAATCTTTAAAACATATCCTCTTACCTTCTAATAGACTCCATTTGTTTATATCCTTCCATAACAGTAAGGACAACTTTCCATCTGTGGAAGGCCCCTGGAGCCCCAGAGCGTGCCAGTTCTTCGCGCCATCTTTTAGGTGCAGATTGCATTTGAGGTGAATAATCGGTGTCTTTTTCAATTTCATATCCCCATTCGTACGTTGTTTCATCAAGCCATCTGCCACTTTCAGCACTATTAATTATGTACTCCTTAGTTAGTATCCACTTTCCTAAAAAGCAAATGAACTGTCAACCACAAAAGATTTTTTTGTGCAGACAAATGGCAATCAACTGAAGATATAATATAAAATTAACTTCAACCTTTCTTGTGCAAATAAAAGCTGGAATTATAAGTACCATTTTAAAAACTTCTTCCTACTATAAGAGTTCTCCTCTTCACACTTTAGAATCAGAAATCTCACAATGCCACCGAAAATGATCGCTTTGTTTTCTTTTAATGATGAAGTACCTTTTAACCCTTCCTAGATAAAACACTTGTCTATCTCCTCGAAAATCTGCAAATGGAATTTTTCAGCTTCCCAGATTTTATTCTTATGACTTCTACAGAACCTTGCTTAATCCTTTATTTTTAGTATCATTTGACACTTTCACAAATGTATCAAAATGTAGTAAAATGAAGAAATATTTTACCACCAATGATTAAAGAGGTACAAAGGTTTTAGCACATAAGCTGTTTCTTTCATATATTCTTAATATTACTTGCACTGCGAGTGTAGTGAATACCAATATTAGGGGGATACAGTTTTAGACTTTTGTCTTTCCCCTTTCTTCTTTTCACATCCTTTTCTCTCATCCCTTGGCTCCACCTCCTCTGCCTCTCCTCTTTCATCTTCTGCATGTATGCTTTTGATACTGAATGTAATGATCTTCCCCTTTTTCTCTGTCTCTCTCTTCTTACAGGTTCAGGTCAAGAGCTGTGGTTAGTACCCTGCTCCTGTATAGAAACACTACCTACAGAAGATACTGCAAGAGAAACTGACTCAAATTGTGTGAACCTAATTGGTTTCACAGAACAGCAGGGTTGACTGGCAAAATGTCTCAGTGCAGGAGCACAGATGGTACTTCTACATAACCTAGCATAGGTACCAGTAGACTTATGACTGGAAAAGGTACGCTGTGCACAACCTGTATGTTAAAATCACTTTCATTTCAAAGTTTCCATCTCAAAACTTCTGTCAGCTATGAGGTCCATGAAGATTGGCATCCTTATTAGTATTTCTGTTCACTTCTAGAGAGTTCTAAATGGGTTTAAACATGATCTTTTACACTTACTTGGGAAAAACTGGAGTAGGAATGAACACACTATCTCTGCCACCAAGAGCAAGAGCAATATTTACACAAAAATAGCACCTCCTCCGCGATTAAAAAGTACTAGATGGTATTGGGGAAGATTTGCAAGTATAGAAACATGACAGAGTTTTGCATTGCCATGTGGACACTACACATATCATTTCTACTCAGTTCAACACAACATCTCTAGATGTTTTAAGTTCCCCAAAATAAGAAAACATTAGCTCAAACGTTTATAACGGTTAAAATGAAGTGCCATGCCACAAACGTACCTGCACTGTAATACTGTATCCCTCATGGAAACTTTTGGTCTATTTGCTTTTTTTATTGGAGTATGATCAGAATTTTACACTAGTACAAGGAATCATCCATATATATGTAAAAAAACACACACATCCCTACATTCTAGCAGCAGTAAATGACTGACAGTGCCTACTAATATTTTATGTAAGTACAAATAGGAAATCAAGGAATTTAGATGTATCTTTAAATCCAAATCTACGTTCAGTTATTTCTGTCTATTGTCTGCTAAGGTTATCCATCCTAAAAATTGCTTTAACACTTTAACTTGTATAATATGATATAGGGAAAATAAAGATCACATTTAACCAGTTAATAGATCGGTATTGTGAAATCTCATAACGCCATAAGATTTTCTAAATTCATCATAAAATCCTTCCAGGTAATCTGTCTATAAAAGAAATCTTAAAATGCAGGATTTTTATTCTGAAAGCATCTTAGTTGCTTACGTATGGGATTTCAGCACCAGGCCTTAGGTAAAAAAAAACAACCAAACAAACAAAAAAACCCCAAAACAAAACAAAAAGAAAACAACCAAGAGGAAAGACCAGAGGTTTGTGTCAAAATGGCAAAAGCCTGGAATTTTCTGCATAAACAGAAACTTGCAGACAGTGACTTTTACCACTGAATGTTGAGTGTGAATTTGGTGCCAAAAAATCTATGCTGACTACAGGTGTCCATACTCTCTCTGCCTCCTTTTCAAGCAATCCATTTTTTAGCACCCATATAATTTCAGTATGACTTCAAGATGTAACTAATATATAACAAATCTTTCTGTTTGGGAGCAGGTGCTGATTTTAAAAAAGAAGATGGCAGTAACATAATTTAGGAAAAAGACCAAAACAAATATATGTAAATCAGAACTTGAACATAATACTGTTAAAAATCAAAGTTAATAGAACAAGAATGAGGGTTCATAAGACAGTTCATGCACAAAATGAAAACAGGTAACTAGAAACCTTTTAAGAGTCCTTTCCAGTCCTGTGTTGTGATCCTACGACATTTTACAGTAAATCTTTTACTCACCTGCAGCACAGGCAGCTAAGAACTTTTCACTCTTGCACAGCTTTTTTGCTATAAGATGTGTGGTACAACTTCTGTATTTCTAAAAAACAAAAATGAAACAACACACTTGTATCACAAGAAACTGTCTAACTTTCTTGGCTACTTATACACAACTCTAAACCACTGCACAGTCCTTTCTTTTCAAGTTTGCACTTTTTCCTTCCGCTCTTCCCACCAGGTACTTTAGCAAACAATACCTTACTATCTAAAAAAACGCACTCCAGTTTGAATAGGTGTTGGAGTAGTGCCGCCTTCTCTTGTTCTTTAAACCCTGTTAACTGGATTATCGGTTTCTTGGCACCACTTGCCATCTGTTAAAAGAAACACAGACGAAGAAGGAAACATTAGGACTCAAGACGTACACCATGAAACGCTGCATGCGTGATGTTACTAGTATTTCCCAATTGTTTTCGTTGGAAAAAAAAAAAAAAAAAAAAAAAAAAAAAAAGGGAAAACACACCGCTGAGGAACCAACACTGCCCGGCGGCAGTGTGCCACACTGGAAGCTGGGGCTGCCTGCCACAGCCGGGACACCCGAAATGTGGTGACGGGGTGGGATAGACCCCCCCAAAACCCGGCCTGCGAGGAGCTGAGCCCCGCCGGGGTAGGCACGAGCGTGTCCCCCCCCACACACCCCCCGCCCCCCACACCACCTCCCGTGAAGAAGCCGCTCACCCTCAGGGGAAGCCCGGCAGGCTCTCCGCAGGTCCCGGGGCAGGAGCTGCGAGGGGGGAAACGACGAGCTCTCACCCCGCTTCCCGCTCCCCTCTTCCCGCGCCTTCCCGCCGCTCCGCCCCCGGATGTGGCGGCGCGGCCGTTCCGGGCCGTTGTCACTGACGCTCCGCGGTCGCCGGGGGCTGTCGGCGCGGAGCCCGGCCCCGGGTAAGTGGCCCCGGCGGGAAGGGTCCCTTCGCAGCGCCGCAGTGCTCGGGGCGGGGGTCCGCCGCGGAGCTTCCCCCCTCCCCACCTTTCCTTCTCCGGGGCTCCCTGCGGCCGCTTCCTCGTCTCCCCGGAGGGGCTCGGCCGGGCGTTGCGCAGTTCCGAGGCTGCCCGGAGGCTGAGGGGGGCTAGTGGGCGCTCGGCTTCGCGCCTCGGCGAGGGGGCGGGAAGGGGAGGGCTTCCCTCAGGGCGAGAGGAGCCGGGTCCGCCGGGATGGGGTGAGGCGGGAGATGTGGGGAGGGGGCGAGGGAAAGCCGGGGGTGTGTGGTCGAATAGGAGGGGGGGCGAGATGGGAAACGCGCCGGCGCCGCCTCAGAGCCTCTGGAAGAAGAAAAGAAAAAAAAAAAATCAAAAAAAAAAAAAAAAATCACCGTTTCTGTTGCTCAGCAGAGTTAAAAGAGTAGAAGGCGGGGCTGGAAGACGGAAGAGACCTCGCTGAGTAGAGGAAACTGAGAGGGGAAGCAGGCGGAGCTCGGTGTAGGTGAAGCGTCTCCCCTCTGGAGCAGGCTGTCTGTGAGGGGCAGGGAAGGGGCCAGGGGTTTCTCATCCTCGGGACCCTCTTCTCTGGTTCCCAGAGAAACTTTCCAAGTGTCTTTTGCCCCATGATGGCTGATCCTCAGGGAAGATTTATAGGTACGGCTGCAGCCCAGATAACCCACATATTTTGGTGAACTTGGCCCGCTGACCAAGTTGGTACTGACTCTTCGTTATGGAAGTCTGTGCTTGATTTTTATCTATTTATTTATTTTTAAATCACAAAGCAACGGGGGAAGGACAAAACATTATTCAGATTGTACCTCAAGGACTCGACTTAGAATTTAAAAATGCCAAGGTCATGATTGCTTGTGAAACTTTATTTTGATCCCTCGCGTATTTGAGAGGTGACTTTTGACCTGATTCATGCGTCATATGATGCACTGAATGGATAGCACACAAGAGATCTGTTAGTGCTTCATAATGAATAAAATTAGCTTTGTAGAACACTCTTTTTTATTCCTTTTTGATACACTTGGAGAGTAGAAGGCACACATCCTGATTCAAGCAAAAAACAGATGATTGAATTGCCTCCTTAGAGAACTGAATGATGTTCTCTCCCCCTCCATAAAATCCTTACGTGCTAGTGGACGTGTCACTTTGTACTCATAGAGGTAGCTGCTTTCTGTTTTAAGACCTGTAAACCGAGATATGTACAGCAAAACTTTTACAAGTGCTGAGTATTTGTCACTGCAGTTTAGATCAATAGAAGCAATACTTTGAACTTACTTGTACTACACAACATAGGTATTCCTGTGGAAAGAAAATCAAACCCACATAGCTTCAGGCATCTAAAATTTGCTAGCACGTTGGACACTTGGTTTTACATCTGTCTGAGTTTCCCAGATATCAGAATAAATAAACAGTTCTGCTGTACCTCAGATGGGTCTTGTGTTGCTGTTACAAAATATTCTGGTGCCCTTAACTCTTACTGAAGTTTTTCCCCTCTTCCTTTTCCTTAACATTGCCACTATATCGTTGTATGTGAGCATGAAGAAGTAACCAGCAACACAGTCTCATTAGTTTTTGAATTGAGTGGTACTGAAAAATCTTTAAACATCTACTTGAACATTCAGAGTTGAATGTCAGTATTTATTGCTTGCATTTCCTGATTGACAATGATGATTAGTTGCATTTTCTATTTTGTACCTCTTGCACCTTTACACCTTCCCTGTTGAGTTGTCTGCACTGTAAGGGTATTAATTATTGTAACTGAAGTGCTGAAAATAAAAAATGTGTTTGTTTTATAGATGTAATCTAAAGTTTAGACCACACTTAATCTATTGTCCCTGATTTTTTTTTATTTGATAATCAAAATTTATCTTATTTAAAAACTAGCAATACAGTTCATATAAATAAATAATTCTGGGTTTATTTTCTCTGGTAAAGCTGAAATAAATAATTTTTGGATTCATATTGTTAAAGTTTTACAATTTAATTCTTAGTAGCTACTACTAACTACTAACCATTACTTAACTGCTAATTAATAGTGGTTTTATGCCACAGGGCTCTTAACATGCTGGAGAAGTCTTCAGCATACAGTACCATAAATTTCAGCACACGAAACTGTGAACTAGCTACCAGTGAAAAGTTGCATACTTATATGATGACCATTTGTTACCTTTGAGAGTTAAATATTTCCTAGTCTTTATCTTTTTGTCTCTGGCACATGAAATATGTGGAATCAAAATAAGTGAGACCTCAAACATTTCATGCCTATCTTCACTTTAAAATACATTGTTATTGAAGTGTAGCTTTAAGAAACTAAGAACATGTTTTACCTTCATTTTAGGGGTGTCTCCTAAGTTTGGATTTCGCTTAGCATCTCCTGCTATTATTTTTTTCATAATAAGCCTAAAATATTTTCTTCTTTTCCATCCTTGTTGTGATCTTACTACAGTAGCTGAGTATCTCTTAATTCATTAAGGTTTTTCTTATTTACAAGAGTTAATATTAAGTCTTAGAGGTCTAGGGAGCAGTCTTTTTAACTGGTGTATTTTTCAGTACCTCTGAGTTTCTTTGTTCCTGTAATGTGTTTGTCAAATATGTGGTTCAGTTGCTCAGTATTATAAACTACATTTAAGCTGTTTGTCTCTGGGTCTTAGATGGATATCCACTTTTACACTGCTACAGTGAACGTGACATCTTTATTCAAGTTTGGAAGTGACTTCCAGTGCTATAGAAATGGTATTTCACTTGTAAAATTTCTAATTACATTTTAAGGTCTATCAGGAATGGATGTACAGCTCCCATGTCCTCAGTTATTTAAGAAGCCAAGATCAGAGGAATAAGTATTCCTTTTACTCTTTTACAGAAAGAGTTTACTTACACTGTTTCAGGTGCCCATCTCTTTCAGACTTCTGTAACTGCTTCTTTCTTAATTTTATTTTCTAGAGAGATCTAGAAAGAGAAATTTCTTATTCATTCCACTGTTCTAGATTTTTTGCCTTATACTTTTTGTTTCCTTTATTTTCTACACATAATTGTATTACCACCCTGTCTTTTGGCTTGAAATGTTACTTCCTACGTTTTCCCGTAGATAGCTATTTTATTTTACATAATATGTGCATTTTTCTTTCACTGGGCCTCATTGGTGTTGCCATGATCAATGTGAATGCTGTTGAACCTTGTCCTTAAATCTCACAACCTCTTTCTGCAAGACTTCACCACTTCATCATTAACTTTACAACTTAGCATTTGGGTGTTTTTTTCATGGTTTTTTTTTTTTTTTTTTTTTTGTCCATCACTAGCCTTTTGACTTCCTATGTTGAAAGTGATACATAGTTTCGTGCAGTGATAGTGATATAATCCATGCATAAACATCTCTTCCAATGTGAAATATGATCTGATAGATTTTTTTGTATCTAGTGGAAGATATTTGGCATTATATTCTTAAAATATTCTTCATTGTGCAAAGCTTATCAGTTGACTGATTAACAATTTCAGAGTTGAAAAAGTATTCGTTAGAGCATTTTTCTCCTGTTGCCTCAACATAAAGTGTGTATACTTGTTTAAGCGATATCCTTTCACAAAACAAAAATCACAATGCTGTAGGCAAATTTTGGTCGAACATTTAGTAATCACAGCTTTGTAAAAAAAAACCCCAGAAGCTACACTGAAAAGTTAGTCATAAAAACTAAAACAGTATGAAGTGTCTCCATACTGCCTTCATGTGGAGAAAAATCTAACTTTGTGCCCTGTTTTAAGTCCATTTTGTAAGTCTGTCTTCAGTACAAAGCACTGACTAGCTGTTGCAACAGTGAAGGAATTTAAATTTTCTTCTATAGTGATAAGGCATTACAAGAATTAGAAATAATGTAAACATAATATAAATCCACAGAAGCTAGAATAGCTTCTTAATAATCATTCTTCTGTAAACGTACCTGTAGTTTCTTTCATGAGCTGATGAATATAGGAATGGCAGAACAAACATTGTGGAAACTCTTGCTTTTCTTCAAGCATTGCTGATTATGTAAACTCTCTGTTATCGTAACTTTGTAGTTATTTGTAAATGTCTTCTTTATGGTCTTTTCAGGAAGTAACGTATTTCTTTTGTGTAACTATGTTTTTTAGGAAGAACATTCATTTTTCTGATTGTTGTAAGCTCAGCCTATCTTCTTACCTCCTGGCATGCGACTGCCCTTCTGCCGACTCACATTCCGTTAATGTGTGTCCGCAAATCAGTGTTGTGGGACAAATGTAGAGAGCACAGGACAGTGTTCAGCAGCTTCTTCAATAGCTCTTCTGTAAATGATGCCAAGCTATATACTTTATGAATTAGTGAGCTGCACTTCATGACTTGAAATAAGGGTTTGTTTGTTTCTTTCCTTTAAAATATAGGTAGTGGAATGGTTTAATTTTGCATTTAATACTTACCTTTCCTACCATGTAAAGTTCAAATTTCTTGTCTTAACCTGACATAAGTTAGTCACTGGCTACTTGGACCTTCTTTCTTAATCATATTACTGTTCTGCCCTGACCTAAATCAGCTATACTTGCCTGGAATACTTAATTGACCTAATTCCCGCACTGACCTTCTAGTATTTTTTCATATTAGTAGATCCACTCTGATGTGATCAGCAAATTTTCCTTCATCAAAGTCCTTTCACCTTTTTTTTTTTTTTTTTGAGAATCTACATAAGCTCATTCAGATTGTGTTTTTGTTTTTGTTTTGTTTTTTAATTATTATTTGTTTGAGATGTCTTTTAAGATGCATTTTCTTTGTCTTTTCTGTATTATCCTTTCCTAAGTAACTGCAGACAGTATGGTGAATGTGTGTAGTGGTATCAGAAATTATAAATTTTTCTTAATAATTGTATGTTGTTAAATAGCAATGTGTATACTCAGAATATTTTAGAATTCTTTCTTCTCTGCAATGATCCCTCTCTCCCCCAGTTTTATTTCTTATTAGGCAACTGCTAACAGCATAACTGATGCTCCACAATGCAGATAAACATGAACCCTGGTTTACAGACATTAGAAAACCGAGTTAGACATGATGTAAGCAGTGGGATAACGTGTTGCATGCACACTTTTTACCTTCTCTGCTGTTCACTGTACTTGAGGTCAGTACAGAGGGTAGGCAAATGTGTAGGTGATTGTGGATGGAAGGAGAGAAGAAAAATACTGAAAAGAAGTTAGGAGAAAGTATGTCATAGATTATAATAGGGAAGATAAGGAAGGTACAACAAGAACAATCTAGTATCAGAATACCCTATATTACGTTGCAGTTCTATCTACATTTTATCAATATGTAACTGGAAGATTGTATAAAACTGCGATGTACAGGTATCAGACATAGATTTGGTAATTAAGGTAAGGTTAAGAGAGTATTGTAGCAGTTCCTTGTAACTGTTTAGTTGTCCCCTAAGTTAAGGTGAAACTCCTGTCATTGGCAGATCTTGCAGATATCTATTGTATTCTTACAACGATGTTTGTCATCCATCCCTAAGAATTCCAGGTTGCTGCCCAAAAGCAACTTACCCTGGGATATCAGTGTCTCTTTAGTGTCTCATGAAGGTTGTAGTAGAAGCATTCACTACTAAAATAATATGTTAATTGGTGTGGCTTTTTTATTTTATCAGAAATCATTCTCTACAAGACTCAAAAAGCAGACAGCATTTACCAAAGAATACATCTGAAATTAACTGTCAGAGTAATAGCCGTAGGTATATGTCATATCAATGACAATATAAAATAGTATAAATGAATATATAATTAATGAAAATGATCATATTAATGTAGTAATCTATTGCCATAAGGAAGTGGTTTTCTCTTTAGATAGGCTCTGAGTCTCTTTCAAGGCAAAATAAGCTGAACATCCATAATCTTTATTTTTCTCACTGTCTTGTGAAGAATTCATTTAGATGAACAAGAAATTTTGCTTAATCACTTTTTCCTATCATGCTGATAGGGTTGGGAGTTAAGAGAAGTGGAGTTTTGTTACCATGAAGATTACTGTGTGATTCTGCTTGGCTTTAGCATGCCCAGATACTAGACATGTATGTCATTCTCCCATCCAGAGATACCACTCTATGCTATGGGGAAATGTTCACTCAAGGAAAGGGGCAGCAATATCCTTCTGTGATCTGTAGTCCCAGGAGCTTTATGAGAATTGGTGAAGTCCTCCAAACATCTCCCTGAAAATAACCTAAGGATTGCAGAAAAAGTGGCTACACCTTTTGCAGAAGTGCTTCAGCAGTCCCTTATGCACAGAAACATAAAAGTCTTCCTTTGAAGCAGTGACATAGATAAGGTCTCTCCCTCTTTTCTTCCACTTTCCCAATGAAGCAATGACATTTATTAGTGTAGAAGTTTTTTGCTGTCAGCGGTTTCTCCCATCTGGAGTGCCAGTATTGACAGAAGGGCTGTGTGGTTAGCAACATTATTGCTTGTAAAGATCATCAGTAAGGGCTGAAGTAAAAGCAGGACTGAAATCCCTGACTGGGAACAGAGCATCTTTTTGGGAAACGCTGGGGAGCATGAAGACTTCCTTTGGGAAGGCATTATGGGCTCTTCTGTAAAAGCACAAGCTCTCTAAGGATGCCAATCCCCGTTTCTCTCCTTTTCCTGCCTCCCTGCTCCCAGCAGCATCCTTGGGGATTTATTAGGCAGACCAGAGTAGAATTCAGGTACCCACTTCCCTGTTGTTTAGAGGTAAACACAAGCCTCCTGCACAGAATCTAAAAAATTACAAGAAGAGTTGCTAGTACCAGCAGTCAATGGGATGGGGATCATCTCTGTAATAGGAATGTTATAATGATTTTGAATTCGGTTTACTGAGGAATTCCAGAGACAGGTGGCCGTTGAGATGTATCTCCTCAAGCGGAGGTACTGCTGTACTTTTGTCCATCTGCAACCAACTCTTCCCATGTTTTGGTGGCGGAAAGCTTAAACAAAGATGACTTCTACTAATGGGATTGTAAAGACGGTATGGCAGGAGAGGGAACAAAACAAAAAAAGAGCAGGATGAGGATTAATGGGAAGACTAATTAGGAGTATTGCATGTGTAGCATATTGGACACACATGATGTAAATATTCTGAGGTAAATCGTAGATGCTGATTGAAATGTGGTAAATTAATCTGTCAGGTTTCAGTTTAAACATTTAGAGTTGCTTGCAGAAACTGATTTGCTGCAATCCGTGGAGGCAGAAAATAGGCCTCAGTGAATTATATTCAGAGGTGTTTCCATATTTAAGTTACTCCTATACTATTTTTTTTCTAAGCAAATTGTCCACCTCTTACATTTTCAGGATAAATGTTGTATTGGAATGAATTTGTCTCTGCAAGAGACAATATAGAGTTAATCTGAGATACCACATCTAGTTAAAAATATGTATGTGTACATGTGTCTGTATAGAAATACATACCATGGCATTATGTGCTAAACATGGGCTTTTCTTAAACAAGGTAAATTTTTTTCTAATCCAACTAATTCATTGCAAAGTATTTGTACAGAGTATTGACGTATTGAAGTATGATAATGCATTCTATGCAAAGATTTTTTTGTTTGTTTGTTTGTTTTTTTTTAATGGATAGATTTAGGTCACTTTATAAGGAATTAAAAAGAAAATTATGTTTCAGAAAGAATCCTTGATTACGAATCTTTGATTCTTTTTTCAGTTTCCCTGTCTATAGTGTAATTTAGAATTCTGTTGAATAAGTGATTAGTGGAATTTAACCATAACTAGTGTTATATTTAGTCCTCAAAAGCATTCTTTCTCACTTTACTTTTTAATTGATGCAGTGAAACTCCTGCACTGTGATTTGGGTTTTAAAGACCACAGTGTTAGAAGGACTTAATTCTTTCTGGGCCGAGGAGAAAAATTTACACATTCTCACAGACAACAATATTCTAAGATTGATTTTGATCAGTTTTTGACTAGTTATATGTGTTTTATCTGTTGGAGGGCTGCTCAAGGAGTTCACCCCTTACGGGCCATGCTTCAAATACCAAGTTAACTTTATTTATAGACCTTCTATAGCCTTTAGTTCCTACAGCAATATTGGTCTTTACCTGAAAGTCTGAGTGATATAGTTAGCAATTCTTCCTTTTATAACTAAATATGTCAGCTAGCTGTCAGCTCTGTGATGTGCCTGATCTTCTCTCTTGCAGAATTCAATTCAGTATCAGATCCAAGTCATCTGAATAGCAATGCAAAATGCTGCCAGAATGTTACTCTGTTGTACTTTCTAATTTGTTCTTCCTTTTTAAATTTTATGTTTGATAAAGCTGAAACTTTTATACACCATTGCTTAATTTTATTTCTCATTAGTTGATATAGCTGAAATTATCAGTGTGAATGTTTCTGCTTACAATTTCAGTTTTAGCAAATATGCTACTTATTTAACTTGTCCAAACATGTTGAAGGTATTGAATTTTAAGGCAAAAACATTCACAGTCTGAAAAGGGAGCACTGACAAGTTCAGTCAAAAGGGAAAAGAAGAATAATTTATAAAAGGAACCGTAGATAATGATGCGATCCAGTTGTTTTAAAGTACATCTACCTCACCTTCAATGAATTAGATTTGTCAACAGCATATGTTTTATGCACTACTTCTAATGAAGTGGCATACCAGCACTACAGTGTACTTTGAGGTTTATTCCATCAAAGCTTTTTGCTGTCGTAAAGTAGACCTTTTTAAATAATAGATACTAAAAACTACATTTAAATAACATTAAGGTTGTGACACAAACACCAAATGACAAACTTCAGGCAATTCAAAGTTAGGGCTGACAACTTGTCATTAACTTGCATTGTTGCTTTTTAAAAAAGAAGCACAATTGCATGATTTAAGGATTGAATGTCAGACTAACTTTAAATTTCTTGGCTTTTGTGGGCTGGAGTTACAACCTTACTGTCATTTTTGATACAGTTTTTTTGCATAGCCTCTGTTTTCAGAAAAGTAGTAAGAGCAATGGAAAAAGCACAGGCTTTGTTCTTAATTTAAAACACAGATGTGAAAGTATTGGTCAAAGAACGGGGGCTACCCCATTGTCAAACTTACATACGGTTCTTTTAAACTTCCTTTGCTCTTGTCTTTGCTGATTCTTCTACAGAACTTCTGAGCTACAGGAATTTTAGTTCTGGGAAACTTTAGCTAAAACCCTGGAAAGTGCTAAGAGTTCCCAATCCTTTACTACATAAAGAACCACTTTCAATAAACAGTACTTAATAAAACAAGAGTTTATTACATGTAGAAAGCCTTGTAAAAATATTTTTAATTACTTGAAGTATCGTGAAACAAAAGCAGGTGAACAGGATACTTCCTGTTATTTCTTATATATGCTTCCTATTTTGTTGCTGTTAAACAAAATGGATTTTTCTATTCAGGTATGTTAGCATGCATGTGTAAACACAATCCATTCAATTCCTCTGTAGAGATAATCTCTCAAGGTCTGTAAGATTAATGTAGGCAATCTATCATTTACATCATAGTTTTATTAACTAAATCTAGCACAAACTGGCACTGCTGCCAAGTGGGCAGGCCTGCACCAGCCACTCACTGCAGTCGCACACTCCATGCCACCATCAGTGCTTATACAGCTGCCTGGTAAATGGGGATAAATGGGCTTGCAGAGGGTAAGTGCCTGGTACAGAAGGTTGGTAGGATATTTTTGCCAAGCTAGTTTTTAGCTACCTGATTTGATTCATTATGGTTAGTGTCCACAGCCACTACCAGGTGCAGCAGTCAATCTTCAGTTCTTCTAATACAGTCATAGAGTTATAAAACCACAGACTGGTTTGGGTTGGGAAGGACCTCAAAGCCCCCCCCAGTGCCCCCCCCTGCCCCGGGCAGGGCCCCCTTCCCCCAGCCCAGGGGGCTCCCAGCCCCGTCCAACCTGGCCTTGAACCCTTCCAGGGAGGGGGCACCCACAGCTGCTCTGGGCACCCTGGGCCAGCGCCTCACCCCCCAAACAGGGAACAATTTCTGCTTCAGATCTCACCTAAATCTACCCAATTTCAATATAAAACCCTTGCCCCTTGTCCTGTCATACAGGTCCTGGTAAAAAGTCTCCATCTTTCTTATAAGCCACCTTTATATATGGAATGTTCATCTCAAACTTCTACCTCTTCTGTTTTCTAAGCTGCTTGTTCTACAGGTGGGTGACCACAAGGTAGATTATTCTCAATGAAACTACAGAGCTATGTGGATCTTCCCTAAGCATTTCTTATAGCTGCCATATGCTATTTTGGGGTATTCTGTGGCCTTATAATTTCCCATCTTCTACGTATCTTCTCTCCATTGCTCTTACACCTTTGGAACAACAAAATGAAGTGTTATGTAGCACCGTGGTTTGTATAATAAGTATCAAGAGAAATGGAGGCTCCTAAAGTTAAAACTTTTTTTAACATTTTGAACGTGGACTATTATTTACCAGTGGAATTAAGAAGCTTACTATGCTGTACAAGCAATTTTACATAATACTTAAGCAATTAGGATTTTTATCTGTCAAAATGTTTGTTACTCAAATGCTACCTATGAGTAATTTTTAATACCTTCCTTTTACATAGGATCATGGGTGAACTAACTGAATGTTATGCATAGTCCCTTAAAAATGAAAACAAGATTTCAGTTACAGCGAGAACATATTGACTGAAGGTATGTTTATATATAAATTGTACATTGTTAAGTTCTGAAATTGACTTGCTATAAACTATGAATGCTTAAAAAGTTCTAACTGGATGGTTAGATGAGACCTGTGAAGATTATAAGAAAGTGCTTGTTGGTACTAATCAAGGATATATATGAATTTTTATTGATTCAAGAAAATGTAGGAGATTTAAATTTAGGAGTTTAAAAAAAGTTCCAAACAAGCTTTGTTCTGATTAACCATTTTGTAAATTCTTGCTCTTTACAGCAGCTCTAAAAATTGACTAGCTGTTTTAACTGTTAAGAAATGGATAGGTATGAACTTTGGATTAGTGTAATTTTGTAAGAAGTCTGAATAAGGTATCTCTTTGTAGTAAGGACTTACACAGTTATTGCAGAAGGTAATTGAGACCAAAATGCATATTATACTTTGCCGCATTTGCTTAGGTGCAACAGTCCCTAATATTTATTACACTTAGAGCAGAATACAGTCTGTTCTGCAATATACAGAAGCTTTCTTGACCCTGTGAAGAAAGGGTCAGAAAATGTGGACTGTCTCTCAAGTTGTCTGAAACTCTTTTCTCTCTACAATCAATTGATTTGTCTCCACTCTTTTTATTGTGCTGCTGTTAGTGCCTAGTAGTACAAAGATCTAACTTGAATTAAAACTTTTAATCATTCCAGGAAGAAGTGGTTTAGGGACCTATATTCAGTAGTACAGATAAAGAAGTGGATTATTTGAAATACAAATAGTAGGCTCTACAATGTTTTTAATTCTTACTATGCCAGTTTGACTGGGAGCATGTGAGTTATGTCAGGTAATGCAGACAGAGAGGGTGGTGAGGAATAGAGCCTGCTTAGTTCTTTTCCTGTAATAAACTTATCCGTGGTGCATACTGTGATAGAAGAAAAAAATGGAAAAATCATTCCAGTCTGCCTTAATATTAAAAATCAAATTATTTGTTCCATGCCATTCCGTGATACGCACTTGCAAAGCAATAGACTTTTGATTCTCTTATTTGGAATAAACTTAAAGTTTCTGAATAATATTCAGGTCCAAAGTTTAATATGAGGTGGGATATTGTAATGTCACTTATTACCAGCTTCTCTAGGAAGAATATGTTGTTTCAGTAAATGCTTCTTCCCTTTTCTGTCCCTGAACTCTTTCTTCTTTATTCAGAATATATACCATTAACTATTTTTCTCATTGGATGTTTTGTTTGTGCTTGTAACATCCTCCACACTGTTCCCTGGTGGTTTACCAGTGAAGGGAATCTTAGGCTGGGACCACCTGCTGTTGGCTGGGTCACAACAAGCATAATTTATCTTACAGATTAATAGAATAGATTTGAAACTTGTACTCAAGGTTCACTCTAGAACTCTTATATAAAAATAGATTTGGTCACAGCTCATGCTTCTGAAGGATATTCTGCTAGAGTTGTTACTATACTTAGTTTTAGGCAGTTAAAAAATATATAGCTTGAACCTTAAAAATTTGATTGTAATGTACGTTTCCAGCTTGAATCTTATATGGCTTATTAATTTTTAACTTTAAAAAAGCTGCAAAATGCTATAAAATTAATATAAGGCAAAAGAAATTTAGAAAAATGTTACTGTGACCCTAGAAAAAAGTTTTTACTCCTTTTTTTTCAGTCTGTGATGTCCCCACTCTTTCCCTCTAGAAACTTGAAATGTAGTCTTACTTAAAAAAAATAAATTAGATCTTCAGTTTTCAGTCCAGTTTTGTACTGAAGCAAAAGATTTATTTCATGATAGGCAAGTAGTGCACATTGTTTACACTGTAGTTCCACTTCTTGGCTGGTTGCACAACTCATTTGAGCCTTGTAATTATGCAAGAAATAACACACCGCATGGTGTTCACTCGTAAGATATTTATGAACACTTGCCCTCTTAATCATGAAACCAAAGGCTAAGTGCTTTCTGCACTAGAGAATTTAATATAATATCTTTACAGTAGTTGTTTAAGATGACAGGGAGAAGGAAGCCCTTTCTGCATCACAAATCAGCTGATTGTCTGTCCTTTTTACACAGTAATTTATGACCTGGTCTGGTTCCAAAGAAAGATCTATTTTCCCCTGTGTGAATGCATTTTGTTATGGTTCCCTCTCCCAACTTTTAACACTGTTGCCTCTATCATATTTTGAAGTAGTATTCTTGACACATCTTTCCAGAAGATATGGTAAAATGTATTAGAGCTCTCCATGACTCTCCTTGAATCATACCTGCATGGCATTTCCATGGTATATACAGACTTAACAGTATAGGGGTAAATGAACTTCACCATGGAGTACAAGATGTTTCTTTCATGAGCTGACAGCTGCAGGATGCTTAGTTGCCCTGCAATAAGGACTTTCAGGCTGGAGTGTGAGAGTATAGTTTAAGACATCCTTGAGAAGATGGATGTTCATTTCACTATAACTATTCTTTATTTCCCTTTCTTTCTTCTTCAGCAGCAATGAAAGGGTATTGTGGATAAATATCCTTTAAAAGTGCCACTTGGTTATGCATTGTTTTTTGCTTTTGTAGCATGATAGTTGTGCTGACTTGCACTTCCTGCCAATAAATAAGGATGTAACATCTGATAATGTAAGTCATCAAGTGAGACAAAACTGGATCGAAATACAGGGGATGCTCTGGGAAGGTAAAGGCTACCTCTGAGTCACTAGTTAAAAAAACAATTTATATATGGCTTATGAATTAGTAAGAAGATCCTGTCTTTAAAAATAATTTTAAAATCTATCTTCCCTGATAGTTACAGAACTGCAAACCAGTTAGACACAAGGTTTAGTTTTGTACAATTATTTTGATTAGTGTTAAGTTGATGTGGTATAGACATACTTTCATATCAACCAGGATATTTGTACTTCAATATATTGTTATATAGATGTCTTCCCTATCTACTCCTTCCTTTGTGTTTGGTAGTGCTTAAACCCTAAATGAAATATAATCTGTGCTTTTTTTAGTGAATAAAGCTTGCTGGTATCAGTTATGAGTTCTGCTCTGGATTCAAACTGGTAGTTTACTAGAAGTCAAGACTAAGCACTTCGCATAAAGAGGCTTAAATCCATGTCCTCTTAATTAGAACTGAGAATACCATTCATCAGTGTGTTACTTATATAAGTTTTTTTCTTCCTTTAAGTGATCTTTTGATCAGACCCTTTTTTTTAGAATAAAAGAACCTAGAGGTCCAATGTGATGCAGACCCATGGTAGAATCAATGTACTGCTGTACTTTGACTAGCAGTGCTAAAGGAGCAAAATACAGTAAACTGTTAAATCTCTTACTCTTCACTAAGAAGGAAAACAAAATAAAAAGGCAAGCAGGAGGTTGTCAGGGCATGAAGATGAGTTATTATGGAGAGCCATTTGCCAGCCCAAACTTTTAAAACACTAAAATGCTGATGTATTAGTCGAAAGCATAATTCTCTTGATGTAGAACTCTAAATACCATCTAGGCATATATCTGTATTTCATAGTGATTTTATGGATTCCTCAAAGATAGGCTTTTACTGTTTTAGTGTATTCTGACTAGTTACCAAATAATCTTTTACAACAGCTTTGTTTATTCTTAAATTCACCTGTGCATGGGACAGGGAGTCTGAGATATTTAAACAAGAACTTCAGATAAGGCTTCTGATGGGAAGCATCTTGGTTATTCTGTTTTCTTTTTTCATAGCTAGTAACACTTCAAAACCTGATTGCAACTTTAAATAAGTCAAAATATTAAGAAGCAATAGACTTCCAGATGATTAGAGAGACTGGTGTGTCTATGTGAAGAAAATATTTTCTATAAAAATGTATTATGCTTTGATTAATCCACATAAACTTCAAAAAGAATGCTAATTATGCAATACCGTGCCTCATCAGAGAAATCAATTATTTTTAAACTGATATATGTGAAGTAGCGAGTTATGTTATCAACCTTACTTTGAAGACAAGCCAACAGAGAGGAAAATGATTACAGATCATATCCTTCTGCAGAAGCTTATTTGCCTTGAACATATTTCCTGTTGTCAAATGCTAACCTTTCTCTAGACTGTTGCTGATGTAGTTGAATATAAAGTTGTCTTCCTTGAAATTCTGATTTATATTACATGTTAGCAGCAGCCATTTGGTCAATCTTAGAAATGTAAAATGATCTTGAAACAGATCCTATGAGATCTACGAAATTGAAATTATTTGTATAATCTTTTTCTTAATTCAGTTAGCTTATGACATGCAATTGTCACCTTTTGCAAGCAATTTTTTCTTTGACTTGAAAATGCTGGCTTCTTTAAATACAATTACAGTTGTTGGTTTGCTAATCCTGTGAGTCAGTCTACACTAAACAGGAAGCTTATCTCAAACCCTTGGCAGCTTCAGTGAAAATTAAAAAGCATGCTTTACTGTAGAGATTGTCAAGAGTGGAAATAATATTTGTCCAGTCGGACAGCTTGCTTTTGTAGTCGCTAAATGAAAGTTGAGATTCTGTCTCTTCCTTGAAAGCTTCTGTGTCAAGAAGGTAATTTGGACTGTTTGTGGTTTGACAGGGATTATTAAAATCAGATGAAGTGAAGGGAAGGAAGTGTGAGAAAACAAAATTGACAGTGACACTCTCTATTATTTGCAGCTTGGATCATGATGACTATGTTGATATGATAGATTCTAAATGTTAGGTTCACTGTTGGGATATGTTAAGCAGCAAATACAGTAAAATGTAGTTATAGATGATTTTCCTGACTTAACACGAAGCCATTCCAGCATTTATTTTCATTGGGAAATTTGAGAAGGGGAGTGTAGCAGAAAATGAAAGACTAGAGGGACAAATGGAAGGAAAAAGGGAGTGGTTCAGAAAGAATTTAATTTTCTCCTTTGTGATTTGATTTAAGGAGCAACTCTCTGTCCTTTTTTTTGAGTTCATACAGCTTGCTAGTATACTTCAGTGGGAATAAAACTGAGGATTAAGAATTGATGGAACAGGTTATCAAATTTCTTTTTACAATGACTTGAATTTTTGTAGGAATTTTTTGGCATTAATAGTTTTGCATGAATTGAGCACAAGTCTTAAAGATTGCTGTTTCACATCAATTTTGCATGACCCGCATCTTGCATGTTATTTTTAAATAGTGATCTTTTCTGCCACTTTGAGATAAATAATTGAAAAACTTAAATTACTGCAATATTCATATAACTGAATTTTTAATTGCTGAAGATACATTAGCCGCACACTGTATGCATCTTTTGGTGTCTAGTGAATATACAATGTATTATTTAATCCTAATCCTTTGTTTTATCTCTTGGTTATATAGGTAAACTTTCAATTTTTGAATAGTCAATTTAGTTCAGAAGTAAGACATCAGATTAGTCAAGTTTGAAGGTTGTTCTCATTTCTATATGGTTTCCTTTTCTGTTTTCCCATAAGGGAACTTAGCAAAAAATTCAATTTTGGGGCACTTTTCAGTGTAGTTTAGGATTTCATAGGAAAGTAGAGAACTGAAAGGAAAATAGGTGACACATGAAAGCCTTTGCTGTTGTTTAACATAGCCATAGCTTCGTCTGTTTCAAACAACGTCATGCAACATTTGAACAGTTAAGCCATGTCAGTATAGCAAGTCCTGTCTCTCATCTTCACCTGTCTTTACAGCAGTGAAGCATATTAGCATCCAGAGTGATTCATCTCCCAGAACAAAAGGGGTAAGGGAGCAGAATGACTGAGGGAAAAGAGGTTACGCAGAATTGTTCACAGACTTGCAAAGTAACTGTCATGAGAGAATAGGGTGGTGTTGAAAACACAGTGGGGACAGTGGTAAAGGAAGTGCTCTGATAATAGAGCACATGAAACTTGTGATGTGAGGGGAGGGTGCCAGACCCTGATGTGGGCTTGAGGGGGAGAATGTGAAACACAGGCAACCACCCTGAAATGGGAGAGGATTGAAAATGTGTCCACATGACAATATTAGAGGGAGGTAAAAGATGCAGCAGTGAGCTACTCCTGTGTGAGAAATGCACAGTTGCAGAAGCATGCATTTGTACTATCAAGAAGTCAGATTAGAATTTACAGTTTTCTGTCTTGATAAAAACAGTACCTACCAACCTGAGGACGTGCCTCAGCTGTGCTTGATGCTAGGCATAGTACAAGACAGTTCTTAATCAGAAGATCTCACAATATGAGTAGGACAAATGAAAGAGAAGGAAGGAAATAGTATTCCCATTTTATCAAATTTAAAGAACAGGTGTTGGCGATTTACCCAACTTGTGCTCTTTAGTGGAGTTAGTCATGTCTAGCAGAAGTAGAAATTGAACTCTACTCACAAGAGTGTGACCCTTGCAACTGAGTATAAGTGTGTGTATATTTGTCATTTAAGGAGTTAGAGATGGCTGTGTTGGTAATGTATAGAAGACAGATAAATCAGGCCAGTTTCACGCTTTGAAGGAATACTTTAATAGTTTGACATTAATAAACAATACACATAGTTCTTAGTTGTTACCAGTCATTCTCACATAAGATTAAAACAATTGGTCCTTAACAAGTTTTACTAAACTATGAGTATATAGTACCAGAAAGCATAGTTAGCATTGATGGTTTGGGTCCTTGATGGTCTTACTTACTGAAGCAGCCAGCCTCAACCTCTTAATGAGGGAAGGCATGAACCCAATAAGCAACTTCCCCCCAGATTTTTTCCTTTGTATTTTATGCTTCTTAGCCTCCTCCTCAAAGAGATAGGGAGGATCTCATTTGCTCTCAATATAATTGGTTCTATTTTTTAGGATCAGGACTGGTTCTGGTTTTGCCAGGCATCTTTTCTGTTTATTCTGCAGGATTCTTCTGGTTCCAACAGACATATATCCAGCCTTATTTGTATACTTTTGTCTAATCTTGCATATGTTCTTGTTTACACATGTTTCTTGAGTGCAACCATACCATAAGTTTCTTTTTTTCCCCTTTGCAGTTGTGTGCTTCTGTTTAGCTGAGTTACAAAATGCTTACACATTTTCACAGGTAGTAGTTAGCAGTTACAGTGCTGTAGGATGCTTATTCACTGTCAGCAGTTATGCTGTTTTAGTGACCTTGTGTCTCTTTTCAGTGCAAGGAACTATTAATTATGTTGTACTTAAAATGGTAGAGGTGGGTTTGCTGTGCCTAGAAGCATGGGTTCACCAGTAGATTGCAGCTGTGAGATTGTGTTCTGATGTTAATACCAAATGGGAGGTGACAGAGTACACTTGAGCCACAGCAGTTCATAACCCAACAAAAAAACAATAATGAAGAAGTTGGAGACAAGTGGGGTTACCCAGAGAGAGGGAGAAGCAAGCCAGATATCAGCCATTTCGTGGCAAACCATTACTGGTTCTTAGAAATACAGATGCTCTGTTACCTCCCTCAGCTACTGTTAGGGAGTAATTCATTGTAAACACCATTGTGTTATACTTGTGTATTATGTAGTCTATTGTTAACTATTAATCGTGATAAAAGTGTACAAGTGAAAGACAGTCATCTTGAAGGAAATCAGAAGGATTTTCCTTTTTTCCCCATGGTAAATGAATTTCATTTGGGGACAAAAAGTGACAAATCCTAACTACTTATCTACATGCTTACTTCTGTATTTCCATGTTGTCATTCTGTGGTGGCATTCTTGAACTGCTTTGTGTGCACAAGTACTTC